ATTGGAACAATCATATTACTTGTATTTGGTCTTAGGTGTCATATATTTACTTTAATTAGCAGGTTTTGTATAATTTTTATGCTATGGCTTTTGGGCCTAATAGTACCTCATATCCCTTTTTAAGAACAAGGATGAAGCTTCACTCAGAAAAAAAAAGAAAAAGAAAAAAGAAAAAGAAAAAAGAACAAGGATGAAGCTTCACTCAGAAAAAAAAGAAAAAAGAAAAAAGAAAAAAGAAAAAAGAAAAAGAACAAGGATGAAGCTAGTAAGGCCCCTCAACTCAAGCCAAACATTAGTACAATCTCTAACCTAAGCCAAACTTAAAAGCAAAAGAACAACTTCAGGTATAAATTAATCCCTTTATTAAGAAGCCAAAGAACATTAGGTAATTCTGATAAGTGGAAAACAAGAGGAGTAATGCTATGCTAAAATATGAAAACTATGAGAGAATATTTGTTTGTGGGAATTTTCTGTGTATTCTTCTCCTTGTAGGAGGTCATATTTATAATACAACGAAACCTGAATGGGCAAGTAAATAATAAATTCCTAAATCTATTTACAATAGGAAATCAAGAATTAAAGTAAATCAATTATAATTATAATAGGAATTCTTGGTGTGTAAGGAAAGTAAGTCAATATCCACAAGTCACGCCAACACTCCCCCTCACGTTGGTGCATAGATGTCGCCAATGCCCAACTGATCCAGTGAATTGTGGAATGCTTTACTGGAAATCGCCTTTGTCAAAATATCCGCCAATTGATCCTCGGATTTCACAAAAGGAAACTGAAACACTTTAGCCTCAAGCTTCTGTTTGATGAAGTGTCGATCCACCTCAACATGTTTAGTACGATCATGCTAAACCGGATTCTGTGCAATGGCTATAGCAGCCTTGTTGTCACAAAAGAGATTCATTGTAGATGTAGGTTTATACCCAAGTTCAGTAAGCAACTTTCTTAACCAAAGAAGTTCACAAATCCCTTTAGTCATGCCTCTGAACTCGGCTTCTGCACTGGATAAAGCTACTACATTCTGTTTCTTGCTCCTCCATGTCACCAAATTACCTCCCACGAATGTGAAGTAACCCGATGTGGATTTTCTATCTGTTACATTACCTGCCCAATCTGCATATGAATAACCATCAATATTTAGATGACCATGCTTTGAGAACATAAGTCCTTTTCCAGGTGCAGACTTCAAATATCTAAGTATCCGAAGAACTGCATTCATGTGGTCTTCACTTGGAGAGTGCATAAATTGACTGACAACGCTCACTGCATAAGCAATGTCTGGTCGAGTATGTGACAAATAGATCAATCTTCCCACTAACCTTTGGTATCTTTCTTTGTTAGTTGGAACTTGATCCGGATATTCTCCAAGATGATGATTCTGAACAATAGGAGTGTCCGCAGGTTTGCAATCTAGCATTCCTGTGTCTGTCAACAAGTCCAAGACATATTTCCTTTGAGAGAGAAATATGCCTTGTTGCGATCGAGCCACCTCAATTCCCAAGAAATACTTGAGTCCACCTAGATCCTTCATTTCAAACTCTGTAGCCAGATAGTCTTGTAGCTGTGATATTTCCTGTTTATCATTCCCAGTAATAATCATATCATCAACATAAATTATTAATGCTGTTACCTTCCCTTTCCGATGTTTCAAGAACAGAGTATGATCGGAGTTGCACTGTTTGAAACCATTGTTCTTCATTGCCATGGTGAACCGTCCAAACCATGCACGTGGTGACTGTTTCAACCCATACAATGCTTTTCGTAACCTGCAAACTGTTCCAGTCTGAGTAGTATTATAACCAGGAGGAATGTCCATGTACACCTCCTCCGTGAGTTCGCCATGTAGAAAAGCATTCTTTACATCAAACTGGTGTAGTGGCCAATCCAAATTAGCTGCAAGGGACAATAAGACTCTGACGGTGTTTAACTTTGCAACTGGAGCAAAGGTTTCTTCATAGTCTATACCATAGGTCTGTGTGTACCCTTTTGCCACAAGTCTTGCCTTGTATCGCTCGATAGATCCATCTGCATTGTGTTTTATAGTAAACACCCATCTACATCCGATAGTCTTTTTTCCTCGTGGTATAGTCTCCAATGTCCAAGTCTGATTTTTCTCAAGAGCTTTCATCTCCTCTTTTATAGCTTGGACCCATTTAGGATCTTTCAATGCTTCAGAGACCTTGGTTGGAATATGGATAGCAGACAACTGATGCACAAAAGCCTTGAGTGGTTCAGACAGCTTCTCAGTGGATACATGATTTGCAATTGGATACTTGGATGTTTTGCCAATATCAGGTGAATAGCGGTTTGGTGGCTTCCCACGATTTTGCCTGAAAGGTAATTGATATCCAATAGTTTTATCCTCTAAATGCACAAGTCTAGTAGGAGTAGTTACCTCAAGGATATTCTCAGGAGATTGGTCTGTTGGTACTGTTGAGTTAGAGGGGGGGTCTTCATCTTGTTGTTCTGTATTGTCTGTAGGTGTGAGACTCGGATCAGAAATATCTTCGTATGGATCAGGTGGGTCAGGTAATTGATCGCTATGAATGGGCGATTGGTCGCTTTTCGGCATAGAGTAATCTTGTGCTCCAGACTCAGGATGATCAATCATTTCTGTACATAGGAGAATTTCTTCGTTTTCCAAGTTGCTCCAATTCTGCTCTTCACTTCGTATCTCCCCCTGAAGCGTAGAATTGGATGATGGGTCATGGAAGAACAGCTCAGATTCCAGAAAGGTCACATCCAAAGTGACATAGGTACGTCGGGTAGGAGGGTGATAACAACGGTAGCCTTTCTGATGAGTGGCATAACCCACAAAAACACAACGAAGCGCACAGGGATCAAGTTTGCTACGTTGATTTTTGTGGAGATAAACGAAAGCCACACATCCAAATATTCGGGGTGTGAGTACCAAAACAGAGGGCAGAGGTTTGTGTTGCGCAAGCACCTGTAAGGGAGTTTTAAAGTTCAATACACCAGAAGGCATGCGGTTGATTAGGTGAACTGCAGTGACAATAGCATCATCCCAGTGATGGCGAGGAACATGAGCGCCAATCAAAAGTGCTCGAGCGGTTTCAAGAAGATGTCGATTCTTTCGTTCAGCAACACCATTTTGTTGCGGTGTCTGAGGACAAGTCGTCTCATGGATAATTCCATGTTGTTGGAAGTAAGTCTGAAAGTCATGATTGACAAATTCTCCACCATTGTCGGAGCGAAGAATCTGGATTTGAGCATTAAACTGAGTTTTCATCTGTTTGTGGAAGGACTGAAACCGGGAAAACACTTCGTTTTTATTCTTTAGCAAATAAAGCCATGTCATCCGTGTACAATCATCTATGAACGTGACAAACCATCGAACACCAGAAGGAGCAGTGATAGGTGAAGGTCCCCAGACATCAGAGTGAATTAACGTAAATGGAGTAGTACACTTGTTCGTACTCAACGGGTAGGGCACACGGTGACTCTTGGCCAAAATACAAGTGTCACATGTGAAGTCGGAGTCCTTGAAACCTGAGAATAAATCTGGTATAAGATGCTTCATATAACTAAAAGACGGATGTCCTAATCGACGGTGCCACAACCAGATTTGCTTTTGTTTGCTATCAAAGGGATGCGTCACACTGTTAGCCATGCCAGGACTGAAGTCATCAACATAATATAGCCCCCCTCTCTTAGTACCACGACCAAAAATCTCCTTAGTGTGAATATCCTGAAGCAAACAAAAACTCGGGTAAATGAGTACACAACAATTCAATTGTTCAGTAAGCTGACTAACGGACAACAATTTAGTGGATAAAGATGGAACAAGTAAAGTATTAGACAGTGTGAGAGAGGATGAGAGTGCAACAGTGCCAGCCCCTGTCACAGGATAAGTAACACCATTGGCATTTGCAATACAGGTTCGTCGAGGTTGTGTAGTATTCAGAAAATCATCAGGATCAAACGTCATATGATCAGTTGCACCGGAATCAATTATCCAACTCCTTGAATCAATCTTAGCGGAAGTATGGAATCCATAACCAGTACCATTACTGGTCGTATTGCGTTGTCCTCGATCTTTAAGAGTAGCCCACCAATCGGGATAGCCATGCAATTTAAAACAAGTCTCACGAGTGTGTCTTGGATCACCACAATATTCGCAATCTGGTCCATGTGTCGGGGTCGTTAGTCGAGAAGTCATAATCTGTGCAGCGGAAGATGTATAGGATACAGGTTTAGTAGGAATTCGGATCGGGATCTGAGCCTGAGTCGGAGTCGGAGTCGGAGTCGAAGTCGGGATCGGGGTCTGAATCAAAGACAAATTCGGGGTCGGGGTCGGAGTCATCATCGGAGTGGGGGTCGAGGTCGTTGTCGGAGTCGGAGTCAGAGTCGAGGTCATCGTCGTCGTCATAGTCGGGGTCAGGGTCGGGGTCGGGGTCGTCAAAAGAGGATCCTGATTCAGGATTAGATTCGGGGCCAAGGTCTGCATCTGTAGGAGCTGAGTCATCTGGGCACTCAACTCGGCTATGGTTGGTTGAGAATGAGAGAAGGAGTCGGTGGTGCTACCTCCATGAGGGATGAAAAAATCACCAACCCCCATAGCGGTGGCGGGGGTGTGAAACTAGAGTCAGCAATTCCAAGATCGCCGCTCTGATACCATGCTAAAATATGAAAACTATGAGAGAATATTTGTTTGTGGGAATTTTCTGTGTATTCTTCTCCTTGTAGGAGGTCATATTTATAATACAACGAAACCTGAATGGGCAAGTAAATAATAAATTCCTAAATCTATTTACAATAGGAAATCAAGAATTAAAGTAAATCAATTATAATTATAATAGGAATTCTTGGTGTGTAAGGAAAGTAAGTCAATATCCACAAGTCACGCCAACATGCTATACTGGCACAAGACAGGTCAAACTCATAAAGAAGAGTAGTGTTGCTAAATGTATGAATTGACCGTATCTTCTGCATTGAAGGCTTATTTCCTCAGTGCATGACTACAAATCATCCTACTGCTCACTCGTCCCCTGCCCTCCTTGTGTAATTGCTCCCTGTCCCCCTCCTTGAGTGGCTGTTGCTCCTCTTGGACCTCTTAGATCTGGAGTACTCATCTTAAAGAATTCTAGCGAATGAGGTTCCCCCTCAAAGGGAAGACTACTAGTAAGAAGACTGAAGTAAGAAGACTTCCTTCTCATTTCAAAAGTATTAGACACATCATCGACTAGATCACGAAATACTGCATCTTAAATAAATTTCACAATATCCTCCTGGGAACTGAATTGAAGTTGTTTAAACGACTCTGTAAATCTCCTGAGCTTGAAATCCTCCTCAGTCTCATTAACGAGTTTCTCAAATATATGATCATCTACTCCGGCTTTACCAACAACTACTTGAATGAGGTTTCTGGGATCACTGGCACATCGTGCTTTGAACCAAATGATTGACAGCCCCAAGTAAAATTCAGCATAGCAGGACTGCTTGATTTCATCTATCTCTTCTTGTTGCTCATTGGAACCCAGCTGCCTGGACAAAAGAATCACCTCACACAAGCGTCTTTCAAAGAAGATTTTTTTTGTAAACTCCTTGAATAAATCAACTCGTTTAACGACGGGAGCTTTATTAAACAGCATCTCGAATGCCTTCCTTCTCACATCTTCCTTGGTTTCCCCTGCTGCTGCTGCTGCAAGGCTTCCGACATTAACATCTTCCGCAGCAAGTTTGTTGGAGATTTGCTCAATCTTGTCTTGCTGGTCCTTGGGGGATAGTAGGCTGAACCCGAAAATCGAGAGCTTCGAGAGTAACTCGGCAGGACTGGCAAAATCAGTAGAACGGGTGCTGGCCTCATGGGATGGTATTCGGAGCTGGGGCATTGCTAATCGACGCAGATAAAGGTTTTTGAACGTTATTAAAATAGAGTAGCCTACAACTCAGATGAGAGTCATTAATTAGCAACTCAAATAGCTATAATCTTCAGTATGTTAAAAAGATACATAATCATGAATCTAGCTAGAACTGAAAACAATACAAATACATCTAAACAAATGGGTGTGTAATTTTAGTGCTGGCAGATCCAGGATTATTACCTCAAGTAATCGTGGTGTAAAAGTTCTGAGCACTAGGTGGTGGATGGCGGCGACATTCCGATGGCGACGTAGGAGGTAAGGGGGGTTAGAGTTTTGAGGAGGTTAGGTTGAGTAGAATAAGAGAGGTTATACTTTTCTCCTGTATTGTGTGTACTGTAGACTAGCTGTAATCTATTTAATTTATAGAAAGAGTTGAAGGATTGGAGGCACACAACAAAATTCAGCAACTTCCTTCAGTCTTCTCTGAAAATGCATAGAACCATGGTTTGTCAGGCTCCCTCCCTAAACCCTAAATTCTTATTAAGTCCATATCTAATGCTAGATAACTTAAACCCAGAATTTTCCCCTCTAAAATAGAACAATTCATGTATATCTCATACTCAAATAATTTTTCAAAATTCTTGTTGATGTTAATTTTACAATATTAAACAAAAAATTATTACAATTTTAAAGCTGAGAAATGGGGTGTGATTTTAATTTAAATAGAAATTTAACGGGGAAGTGTAGTTTTTAATGTTAATTGTTTCTGTATGTGAAGATTTTTGTTTGTTTTTATTTATGTGAAGTGTAATATGTTAATAAAATTAGGAAAGTGTGGTGGAACATGGGGTGAACTAAAAAGGGGAGGTGCCTCACACGCAACTCCACCAAGTCAATGCACTAAATCTGGCAGTTGGGATCCATTTACAATGGGTAGATTGGAACTTGGGGGAGGTGTGTTGGGTTTTCTATTTTAACTAAGAGAAAAAAAAAAAAAAAAAAAAAAAAAAAAAAAAAAAAAAAATAACTTGTTTGTATAGCCCAGGTATAATCATAATCGACGGTCCGTCAAATTCAGCACCTTCCTTCAATCTTCTCTGAAATTGCAAGGAATCATGGTTTGTCAGTTTTCCTTCAGTCTTCTTTGAAATTGCAAGGAATCTTAAATTGCAAGGAACCATGGTTTGTCAGTCTTCCTTCAGTCTTCTCCGAAATTGCAAGGAACCATGGTTTGTCAGTTTTCCTTCAGTCTTCTTTGAAATTGCAAGGAATCTTAAATTGCAAGGAACCATGGTTTTGTCAGTCTTCCTTCAGTATCTTCTCCGAAATTGCAAGGAACCATGGTTTGTCAGTTTTCCTTCAGTCTTCTTTGAAATTGCAAGGAATCTTAAATTGCAAGGAACCATGGTTTGTCAGTCTTCCTTCAGTCTTCTCCAAAATTGCAAGGAACCATGGTTTGTCAGTTTTCCTTCAGTCTTCTTTGAAATTGCAAGGAATCTTAAATTGCAAGGAACCATGGTTTGTCAGTCTTCCTTCAGTATCTTCTCCGAAATTGCAAGGAACCATGGTTTGTCAGTTTTCCTTCAGTCTTCTTTGAAATTGCAAGGAATCTTAAATTGCAAGGAACCATGGTTTGTCAGTCTTCCTTCAGTCTTCTCCGAAATTGCAAGGAACCATGGTTTGTCAGTTTTCCTTCAGTCTTCTTTGAAATTGCAAGGAATCTTAAATTGCAAGGAACCATGGTTTGTCAGTCTTCCTTCAGTATCTTCTCCGAAATTGCAAGGAACCATGGTTTGTCAGTTTTCCTTCAGTCTTCTTTGAAATTGCAAGGAATCTTAAATTGCAAGGAACCATGGTTTGTCAGTCTTCCTTCAGTCTTCTCCGAAATTGCAAGGAACCATGGTTTGTCAGTTTTCCTTCAGTCTTCTTTGAAATTGCAAGGAATCTTAAATTGCAAGGAACCATGGTTTGTCAGTCTTCCTTCAGTATCTTCTCCGAAATTGCAAGGAACCATGGTTTGTCAGTTTTCCTTCAGTCTTCTTTGAAATTGCAAGGAATCTTAAATTGCAAGGAACCATGGTTTGTCAGTCTTCCTTCAGTATCTTCTCCGAAATTGCAAGGAACCATGGTTTGTTTGTCATTCTCCCTCCCTCTCTCTTCCACTCTAATCTGAACCATTCAATTCGAACCATGGTTTGAAATCTTCTCAAATATGGCCGTTGTTTGCTCAATTAATTATCTCCACTGTATCCAATACACATGCACATGGAAATATTTTATTTTTATTTTAATCCTCGGCGGAGAGAAAAGCAATGGGTTGTGTGCCCCCTGTCACGCGTTTTGTAGCATGCAACTGAACATGCTCTTACAATAGTAGAAAGACAGAAAATTTGTTCACCTTTCTCTCTCTCTCTCTTCCCTTTCCACTCAACCCACCCTCACAAATCAAAACACAATTAATCCAAACCAAAATTGAGCCAATTTACAACAGAGTATATATACTAATGAACTCACAATCCAGCTCGCCAATAGCTAATGGAGCAAGATATGATGCTGTCATCACAATTGTAGCGACAGACAATATCCAGACGACACCATTGGATTTGGACCAAAGAATCCCGGAAACAAGATGGCTTCTGCATCCATCAGCAGGAAACGAGTCTTGTTGCATTTTCAAGGTACGTCAATGCCTTGTGGAAATAAACAACAAGACTTACCAGCCCCATATTGTCTCCAGTGGTCCATATCACTATGGAGATCAACGTTTGGAGATGATGCAGCAACACAAACGGAGATTTCTTCACGATCTACTTGCTCGAACAGCTTCAACCGGCCCAACACTTGATCACTATCGCCAGGTGGTAGCAGCAATGGAAGAAGATATAAGACGGTGCTACTCGGAGACCATCAGTTTATGCAGTCATGATCTAATTGAGATGATGGTGTTGGATGGTCTCTTCACTATTGAACTCTTTTGCAAAGTTGGAGAATTGTCACCAAGTGATCCAGACGATCCCGTCTTTAACTTGGCATGCGTATTCGCTAATATCTTTCGAGATCTTCTTCGTTTCGAGAATCAAATTCCTTTCTTCCTTCTTCAAAAACTATTTGATGAATCAAAACCTTCAAGGAAACATAGTGACTCATCCTTAGCCAAACTTGCTTTAAAGTTCTTTACTTGTGCAGTAGAAACCCCTGAGCAAGTGTTAAATCAGGACTTCACTACTGTTGAAGGAAACATTTACTGGATTTACTCCGCCGGAGTTTTATCCCTGAACCCTATGATCATTCACCTCAAGAAGATCCTCCTCCGTCCATTGAATTTATCCAGTCAGCCAAAAGCTTCGTCAAGCTGGAATTAAGTTCAAGACAAGGGAGGCAGTGAGCTTCTTAGACATAAGATTTTGCAATGGAGTTCTGGAAATTCCACACATAGTAATCGACGATCTACGGACTGATTTATTGATGAATTTTGTAGCATTTGAACAATGCTACTCTCATTGCTCAAAGCATGTAACAAGTTATGCTGCATTCATGAGTTGTCTGATCCGCACGCCTGAAGACGTATCATTTCTCTGTGACAAGAAAATTGTCGAGAATTATCTTGGAACTGATGAGGAGGTTGTTCATTTCTTCAAAAACCTTGGCAAAGGTGTGGTGTTTGATATTAATAAGAGTTATCTACGGAATTCGTTCAAAGAGGTGAATGAGTACCATAGAAATACGTGGCATGTGCGATGGGAAGGTTTTAGATCCAAGTATTTTGGTACTCCATGGTCTTTCTTGTCTGCTGTAGCTGCTGTTATACTCCTACTACTCACTGCAATTCAGGCCTTCTTTGCAGTTTATGGATTGCCCATCCGCCGAAACTGGGAAGTACTAGCCATCTGGGGCTTGAAGAGTAGCAATAATGTTAGGATGTTTGACACTTTTTTTGCACTAGTATGTATTTTTGCGTCTTTTAATATCTTCCCAAGCTGGATGTGTATAAATATGGTCAGCATGGTCCCTAGCCAGCTCTGTGAATGTTCTGATTATGAAATCTCCTCTGTTTCCTCAGGAGTATTCTGGATATTGTCCACTGTAAAATGATCCAGTACTTGTCCAATCAGTTGTTGTTGATCATTGGCATCTAGTTGAGTTTTGAACACAAAAATTAGCTCTTCAAATCGCCTTTCGCTCATGAATTTTTTTATATAACTGCGGAAAGGAAAAGAGCCTGGTCAGGGAAGGGGAGTTTCTTGAACCGTCTTCAGTTTCCTCTGGGAGTTGCTCCACTGTAACATCTTCACCTACTTCATTGTGGATTTCTTTCGTCCTCTCATTAATTGGGCGGAAAATCTATTTGTATATGTAAGGTACCAGTAAAGAGTAAAACTTCCTAATAAAATAGAACTACTTTTATTATGATAGTGTTCAAATCCCTACAGTACTAGTTTATTCAGTGACATTTGAGGTGTACTTAAGAGCCATTTTTGTGTTCCAAGTCCTGAAACCAAGAGAAAACTATTTAAAATGAAGTAACAAGTGGAAGAGATTTGAAAGAAGGCTCTTTGGTTCAGCCTTCAGGAAATGCCTGCTGACCTTTCTCCATCGCAAGCTGTGTGTTTTGATTTGAACTTCCAATATTCATACACCAACAGACAATGTTAGCACTATATATAGAGGAATAAATCGATTTATGTACATAATTAGGTTGTCCTTTCGAAATTTACGACATTTAGTCACATAGAAGATAGCTGATTATGAGTAGAGGGTTAAACCATGCCTACCCAAATTATAAGTAAGAAATACCTTATGTGTTTGTTTTGACTTCACATGACTACTAGATTTCGAAGGGCTATAAATCACAACCAAAATAAAAAACAAAAAAAATAAATAGGATTTAGCTTAGGCATGACCACCCGAACCAAACCGTCCAATTGTGATTTGGTTTGGTTTGATTTCTCCTCTCATTTTAGCTCAAACCAGACCACGCTTCCGCTAGATGTTAGGGGCTTTAGCGTTGAACCTCATTGACAAATATACCAATATAAACTTTCAATTCAATGCACATATTACAAAAAGATAGAGCACATCATATGATCCCTTTGAAATTAGGAAACACACACAATAGACATTTATTCATAAGTCAGAAATTATGATATGAGAATTACAAAAGTGAGGTGAGGGGAGGCCTTTTGTGTTTCCCGTCTCATCAAGAAGAAACAACAAGAGTAATATTTATATACTGCATACGAATAAAACACACATGATGGCGAGACATGTATGAATTCACCACATCTTTTGATTCTTTACTCCAAAGATATTGTGGTCTGAATATTGTTTGTCGCTGCAATTGTAATGAAAGCATCTCTTCCTCCATTGGTGAGCTTGATTGCGAGTTCATTGTAGCTATAAATTAAAGAGCAGAGGATTTGGTAATCACTCTACTTTATACTGAAGTAAATTTGAATGACAAAAATATGTTGCCACATAGAATTAACTATCAAGAAGAAGACAAGGACCAACCTTAATTATTAGCAGCATATTCAAATGATAGAGTAGAATGAAACAAAAATAATAATATAATGTGATCCTCTTGGGGCCTGAACCGTCTTTGAAATTTCATTGAACCATCTTCTTTGCCATCTATTCTCAGATTTTCTTTGCTTAAATTTCATCCTATGGATGTAGATTGATAACTAGCTAGTCTGTTAAAATTTCTAATTATACAGTATAGCCGTGCGGCTGTACTCTTTTTTTCTTTTTTAATAAAGGAGAACCTCTATCGATTTAAGCCAGGTTCAAATATAAGTATCACCGTCTGGCTATACTATGTTTTAATATAAAAAAGAGGATTCCCCATTCATTAACCGCCACGTGTCAACACATGTCTTTTTAAAAAAATTAAAAATATGGAGTATAGCCGCCCGGCTTTACTCTCTCTTTTTTTTCTTTTTTTTTTTAAATGAAGAAGAACCTCGTCAAAAATAAGTATAGCAACCTGGCGATACTTTTTTTTATATATTAAAAATCGTAGTATTGCCTCGCGGCTATACTATTTAATAAAAAAATTAATAATAAAAAAGGACCCTCCTAGTTGCATTAGTTTGTACCTTATTGATCTTAATTTGCAACATATCCAAAGTAGATATTAATATTCCACTATATGATATTTTAATATAATTTTTATAACATATGTTATTCTTATTCAATAATATGCAAGAATTATTTGTATAAATACGTGAATTTTTTGTCTCTTACTGAAAATTTCGTAAAAAAATTAGTACGTGTATAAAACATTAGAAATACCTACGTACATGCACAATACGACTATTGTAAGTTTGCTTTTTAAAGAAAACGTGAGACGTGTATAGAACACAAATGTATTGTTGAAAAATACCTACCTACATATATATATATATATATATATATATATACGCGGCTATACACAGTTTATAAATTGTTTAAAAAAAATAGTATAGCCACCCGGCTATACCCAACAAATTTAGCTGCATAGACCGGCCAACGAACGTTCTTTGGGAGAGGTCTTTTTTTTGTTTTAATTTTGAAAATATAAAATTAGTTTCTTTACTTTTGTTTTTTTGCCAACTTCTTGAATTTAATATATGTAATTAAGTAATATTTTAGCATTTTTGAATTACTTTAATTTGTAATTATGTTTTAATTATTATTTCTTTAGTGAATATTTAAATATGTTATTGATTTCACAAATGACCTACTATACTAGATTTTTTTATATTTTTTTTAAAGAAATAGTATATATATATATATATATATCTGTGTGTGTGTTTGTGTTTATATATGTACATTATAGTATATGTGTATGTAAGTATAATGCAATATAATATACATGGGTATATAATAATAATAATAATAATAATAATATATTACAATATAATATATGCATCTTATACATTGGTGAGTATAAGACTAGTTAATCCTCCTTTTCTACATGTGTTTATTAGTCCCTTCCTAGTGAAGTGTTTTTGGTGGGCCTAGTATTAGCAATCTCATCTAAGAATAGGATCAGATGAAAAAAAACATGGGACTAAATTTAGTCAAAGCCAAGTCAAGCCAAGTCTGTGTAACAAACAATCCTTAGGGACCATTTGTGACAATATATATATATATATATATATACATTTTTATTGTGTCATATTCGAATTAATTCACATATATGAAGGATAAAAACTTGAAGGGCCCATATTAGTTTTGAAGACCAAAAAACAAATTCCTCTTATAAGCAATTTACAACTCATATATTCTTCATACAATACAAGTAATATAATTACCCTATTTAAAAACAATCTTATACACCCATCAAAATTTATACTGTATACGTTCGGGAACGTGAAAAGTTATTTATTATCTTCATGTATTATTTGTTAAACTATTTTGTCTTATTAAAATCGTGTTATTTGTGTTTCGCTCCAGTTTAGGTTGATTTGTTTATTATTGTGTCACAGATGGATCTGTGTCACATTATGTTCAATTTGAACATGCGTTGTGTTACATTCGAGTTGAGTTAGTTATAAATTGTAATAGGGGAAAAAGTCACTTTCAGTCCTGTGGTGTACCACTTTTTCCATTAAGGCCCCTGTGGTTTCAATCTGATCACTTTTGCTCCTGTGGTTTTATACTCCAACCAATTTAAGGACAATGCCCAATTTCTATCAAATTAATCTAACTGCTGTTGCTTATTGAACGTGTGCCCCTCACGTGGAGGGGCATATCGATCCAATATTTGCAGGCTCTTTCTCTCCCTCTCCCGTTCTCCCTCTGCAACCTTTCTGTTTCAATTGTAATTGAAAAAAAGAGCCCATTTAGGGTTATTTTGACTTTCCAAGGGCCTTAGGCCCATTCAATTTTAGTTTTTATCAAATAGAGCTTTTAATACTTATTTGGGCCAATATATGGATCCATTAATAAGCCCATTATTCAGATTATTCATTTAATTATTTAACTTTGACCCACGACAGGGTCAAAAGGTAATGGTCTTTATATAGGTGGCAAGTGTTGATTGAAGGAAATATTACAATAAGTAAGTTTCTTAGTGCCAAGTTCAAAAGCAAGATAACTGGGTCCGATTAAGAGCTTTTTTTAGGTCACGGGTCCGTTTAAGAGCTTAAACAAATGTTTAACTAGAAAACATTCTTGGGTGCTTCATCCTCTACCATTTATTTTCTCTTCCCACTTGTGAGTAATTAACAAGAAGACTATCTTCAATGATGGTCCGTCATACCAGAGTCTCATCACTCTTCATCATTATCTTCTAGCACTCAGCCTATAAATAGAGGCAGAATTGTTCAAGCAAAGGGATTCTCTCTCCAACAACAAACTTCAAACTTGATCAAAACTTGATCTCAGATTGAACTCTCAGTTTAATTTCTCTCACTTTTGTAGGGGCCTTTTTCTTCTGGCCATTACAAATGGGCTGGGCTGCCGTAAGGAGCAAATTGAAGAAAATATCCCTTGTGTCTGAGTTCAAAGATCAGACCCCAAAATGTTTCGAAAGGGTATTAAAGTCTTAGGAAACACCTTGGTTATCTTCACCAACAAAATAATGGCTGCTTACAAATAGATTCTTAGTGCTTACATATGAATTCTTAGTTTGGCATGACGAGATCGTAGCATGGAAGCAAAATTGGCATGAGTTCAGCATTAAGGAGAAAATTATGTGTTCTTGGAAGGAAGAAAGGGTGTCAAGGTAAGAGAGGAAATGTTTGCAAAAAGATTTGGCCAAGAGAGAAGGGAGAGAAAGGAAAGGTTTGCTTGAGCATTTCTTCCGGCAGCTTGACAGAGACTCTGTCAAGTGTTAGAACAACCTGCAAGAAGAGGGAAAATGGAGAAGAATGGTGAATAGTGCACGAAATTGCTGGGTTTTGCAAGTAAAAGAGGAAGCTACTCTCTGGATGTGGCCGATTTTCGTTGGGTAGAAGAGGCCCTATTTATAGCCGCTAGAAGCCATCTTTTTCCAAGAAACCCTAATGGCTTCCATCCCATTTTGCCAACTCTTTCCCTTCCTTTCTCCCCTCATCCCTTCAATCATCCTATTTTGGTAAAATCTACTCTGCTCCTTTGCATAAAATCAGGGATTTTGGGAGCTCAAGGTTCCTTTCTTGCAGCTGCACTAGTGAAGAATTCCTATTTTTCAAATATCTCATTTCTTCTCTTTCTTTTCCTCCTTCATGATCAGATCTGATGAAGGAAAGAAATTGGTATACATGCTGGTTCGAAGGGTGGCTCCTTACGCGCTAATATCTTTTGGTCCCTTGGATGTTTTCCTTCAAACTTGTTCATTCCCTCCCAGCAGCTCACGTGGCTTTTGTTTCTCAGCCAGGTGCTGATGGCTTTGCAGGTTTTTATTTTGGTTATATGGTCATTCTAGAACAATGGGTTGGCTTATCAAATAAATGGACCAACTTCTCCAAGTTTTGGCTTATTTTGTTGAGATATTGGGCTAATTTTGGTTAAGCTAATGGGTTATTTTGACTAAGGTAATGAACTATTTTCTGCTTGGTGCTCACCTACATGTTTGGGCTTAAGAAATTGGCTTGAGTTCCGAGGCTCCCAAGCAACCCGGAATCTCCATTTCTCGGCCATCAATGGGCCTCATGACAACTTATTACCATCCATGCCACAACCCACTTAAGCTAGCCCCGGGCATTTGAGTGGCTTGAGCCCACTTAGGCTTGTAGCGTGGTTGTGTGTGTAATAATGATTTCCTGCTTGGCATAGCATGTCGCTTGGCATGGCATATCGCTTGGCATGCTTTTAATTATTATGCTTGACGGGATAATTAGCTTAGATTTGCAGAGCTAATGCATTTTATAATCTTAGTCTCGATTCCTAGAATGACGGATTATTTATTTAGCATGGCACGTGGAGTTTGACTCGTGCATGGCGGACTTTTGTGTGCTCCAAGTCGGGTTTTTCTCAATAACGTATTGCGCTGGGCCGGGAATTCATTTGGGCCAAGTCGTGGATTTTTTGGGCCTCAACAACTTTCAAGATATTCAGTTGACAACTCCCGTGATTATCTTTTTATTGCTTTGTCAACACTTGGTATGATATACTAGTTGGAAGGCCAGCACCTCTCAAACAACTTAAATTCTTGTATAAGATTGAATCGAAAAATCTTTAATCTTCATTTAAATATATTGTATCAAATTAAATCGAGAAATCTTTAGTCTTCATTTACTTTTATGTTGTACTTAAATTGAATTGAGAAATCTTCAGTTTTGAGTGTTTAAATTCATGTCATGTACAATTTATCAGCAATTTATTTTGATATTTACTTTGATATGCAATTTCGGGCAATAATTTCATCATGTAGGGTGAGCCCGATCAAGGGTTTTTTTTTGCCCTATTATGCACTTTTGGGCCCGATCTTAAGTCCTTGAGCCAAATGTATGGTTTTTGGGTCATTTCTTAGGTTTTTGAGCCTGATCTAGGAGCTCTATAACCAAATTTTGGTTTCTCTTTAGCTAGATATGCAATATATCTACTACATCGCCAGGGCACACATAAAAGAATATTGAAGTTCTCTTAATTGATGCATATAAAAGAACTAACTCGAGCCAGTACACCCTTGGAGCACAATGGCTTGATTAGGAGTCAAGAGCTGCGTAAATTCATCTTACACTACATCCATATTTATACTGTGCTGCAGCTAGTTCCAATAGTGGCACGCCTAAGCAAAACACCATGCCAAGCTTCAAGAAGTGAAACTCTTTCATATTTCCTCAGCTATCAACATAGATAGCACAGGGTAGTCGAAGCCCACAAAGTGATGAAATGGCTTCAAGAGCATTTGGTATATAGATAACGAGACTTACCGAAGGGCAAACCAGTGGTCATGCCAACTCTCCATCTTCATAGGTTAATGTGACAGGTCCATTTGATGTACCTATGCCACTAATTGTACTAGCAATTATGGCCTTGATCATAATACTAGTTGCACCTGTGGTAACTGCTGAAAATGAGACCAACAATAATCAAGCTATGGCTGTGGAGGTGCCTGCTGTTATTCCTCCACCAAGGTATCAAGCTTAGAGACATGGTGAAGCAGCTTTGCCACCAGAGCCACCAAGGAGAAATGTGAATGATGAGAGATGGAGGCAACCCCTTACTTTTAATACTCATATTGCCAACAACAATGGCAATATTAGAGGCAATGATAGAGGTAAAGGGAATAACGTATGTTTATACCAAAATGAACAGCCAATGAATATCGAACACGTGGGCTAAACCAGGGCCATGGGCGTCTTCGGCACCCACCTTCGGCACCAAACCCACCGATCGCAACATTAGGGCAACCTCGCCCCCTTTGACACGTGGCAGTCCCACAACTGACGTCCAGAGTCCCACATCGAAACTCTAAACAAATTGCACACCTCCCAAGGCCTATAAAAGAGGACAACCATCCCAGCTTGGAGGTAATGAATCAGAACTGACGGCATACTGCCTATTGATCTGTAGTTCAACTTTACTAAATCCGTACTTACTTAAGCATCAGAGAGCCTTTGGCCGGTACCACACCGGCTCCCCAGGACCAACCTCACATACCGAAGAAGGTGTACACCGATTGTCGCCATCGGATCAACGACAAGAAGGATGCCGAACGGCATAGGTCCCCAATCGGAGTAAACGCCCGCTTGAGGGACTCCCGGATGAGGGTCCTGGGGGATAAATCACCCCTTCGGAGGGTTCAGGGTTTGGATTCGGCGCTGGAATCCGATGATGAGTACATCCCCACCGGGGGCACCGAATCAAGCTACCGTTCGGAAGCTCCCCCGGAGTACTCAAAGGCGAGACCACCAAGTCCGAGGAGAACTTCCGAAGACTTTGGTTCCGAGGGCGTCCCAAGCTGAGACCCCGCCATCCGCCTACTTTTCCAAAGAATCCAGAAGATGGAGGATGACCGAACCCGATCCCAGGTCCCTGATTGGGGAAAACTTCGGCCGGGACCGTTTACCGAGCGCATCAAAAAGTCCAGACCGGACAGGGAGGTGCAGCCGTTGCGCATACCCTTCTATACCGGTGTGGAAGACCCTTTGACACACCTTCACTCCTTCCAATCGGCAGTTGGGTGCAAGGGCCTCAGCGACGAGGGGCAATGTCTGCTGTTTCCATCATCCCTTACAGAAGTTGCTCTGAACTGGTTCTACCGTCTCGAGCCGGGAACGGTAGACTCCTTTGACGAACTGAAGCAGATTTTCCTCAACCACTTCATGATCCAAACGGACCGTTTGTACTCTGCCGATGATCTGTACACGATTCGGCAGAGGGAGGACGAACCCTTACGGGAATACGCAGCACGCTTCAGTCACGAGTACTCGAGGTGTCCTAAAACGGACGATAGGGCGGCCTACGACGCCTTCAAGAGTCGCCTTCGGTCCTCTCACTTCCGGTATCTTGTGCACAGTAGCAACTGGCGCACGTACAACGAGTTAATGAAACAGGCGGCAGTCCATGCGAAGGCCGAATACTTCAATTCCAAGGCCACCAAAAGTTATCTGGGGCGAACCGACGACTCGTCGGCAGGACACAAACGGAAGGACGACCGTGATAGCCGTCAAGGAAACTCGAAGAAAGGACGCGGGAAGTACGGTCGTAACGACCACCGGGCGCCGCTACCGAATCACGATCGCGCCCAGGAAGTCTTCACCCTGCTGAACACAACGTACGAGACCGTTCTAATGAACGAACATGACCAGATCCCGAAGCCAAACAACCGAAAGCCCAATCGGCAGGATAATCGGGACACTGGCAAATTCTGCCGATACCACCAGCAGAACAGCCACAATACCGAAGATTGCATCAGTCTGAGGAAAATTGTCGAGCGTTTGATTCGGGAGGGAAAGTTGGATCAGTACCTCGCCAGGCCACCACAGGCCCCAGCACCGAACGCGAATCGACAGATCAACATGATCAGCACGATCAGCGGCGGCCCCACTCTGGCGGGACCCTCTAACCGTTCGATGAAGCAGTATGTGCGTGCCGCCCACTACCCTCAGGTCTTCGGCATAGAGGACGATCGGTGCCGAAAGTTGCCGAAAGTGGGATGGGAGCCCATCACATTTTGTGAAGAAGAGGAGGAGGGAATCATCTACCCCCACGTTGACCCAATGATTATTCGGGTCGAGATCGCCGATTACGATGTAGGTCGGGTACTGATCGACACCGGAAGCTTGGTGAACGTAATTTTTGCCGATGCGTTCAAGGGACTGGGAATTGCCGACAGCATGGTCAATCGGCAAATCACGCCTCTCCTCAGTTTTTCTGGAGATCTGGTCCAACCAGTCGGTAGCATCAGTCTGCCCATCGCCTTCGGCGTCGCCCCCAGGAAAACAATGACCTACGACCAATTCCTCATTGTCGATTGCCCAACGGCATACAACGTCATCATAGGGCGAACGACACTCACCAGGGTCAAAGCCCACCTATCTCCTCACATGTTGCTGATGAAGTTCTCAACACGCAACGGTACCGGCGTCATCCGGGGTGATCAGCTCAGCGCACGGACGTGCTATGCCACGACCCTTAAGTCGGTAGCTAGCAAACCGCCAATGGAAGCCATGACCGTGCAGGGACTACCGAACGGTAGCGAACCTATTGACGACCCAAGGGAGGAAAACCCAACGGCGATGGCGTAGCCCGCCGAGGAGCTCGAGACCGTGATCCTGAATGAGGAGTTCCCCGATCGGTGGGTGAAGATCGGTAACAATCTAGATCCCGACCTCCGAAGACAGTTCGTCGACTTCTTACGGCAGCAGGCGGAAGTCTTCGCCTGGTCTTATGACGATATGCCCGGCATATCACCTGATGTCATCAGCCACAAGCTCAGCATTTCCACCGCCCAGAAACTGGTCAGGCAAAAGCGCCGATCGTACGATGCCGAACGGTACGAGGCAATGCGTGCCGAAGTTGACAAGCTCAAAGCCATCGGCTTTATCAGGGAAGCTACGTACCCTGTTTGGCTTGCCAACTCGGTCATGGTTCAGAAGGCCAGGGGAGGATGGCGGATGTGTCAGGACTATGCCGACCTGAATAAGGCTTGTCCGAAGGACAGTTTCCCCTTACCGAGGATCGACCAGCTCGTCGATGCCACCGCCGGGCACGAGCTGCTCAGCTTCATGGACGCGTATTCAGGACACAACCAGATCTTCATGGACCCTGCCGATAGAGAACATACGGCATTCATCACAGATCGCGGTTTGTACTGTTACAATGTCATGCCCTTCGGCCTGAAGAACGCGGGGGAAACTTAACAACGGCTCGTCAACCGGATTTTTGCCAAATACATCGGCGGCATCATGGAGGTGTATGTCGACGACATGTTGGTGAAAAGCCGAACGGCAGGGGAGCATCTGGAAAACCTGGCGCTCATGTTCGGTATTCTAAAGGACTACCGAATGCGGCTGAACCCAGCAAAGTGCGCCTTCGGTGTATCTTCCGGTAAATTTCTCGGATTGATGATCAGCCAAAGGGGAATCGAGGCCAATCTCGAGAAAATCAAAGCCATAATCGACATGGAGACGCCGAAGACGCAGAAAGACATCCAGAGCCTTACTGGACGTGTCGCCGCCCTGACACGCTTCATCTCCAAGGCTACCGACAAATGTGTACCGTTCTTCAAAGCTTTGAAAAGGGGCAAACATCATATCTTATGGACTCCCGAATGCGACTAGACATTTCAAAACTTGAAGAACTACATGAGCCAGGCACCACTATTATCAAAACCGCTCCCAGGCGAGGTACTACTCCTATACCTTTCGGTATCCAACACTGCCATTAGCTCAGTGTTGATACGGAAGCCAGAGAAGGCGAAGCTACCGATCTTTTATGTCAGCAAGGCGCTCCAGAGCGCGGAGCTTCGGTACCCACCCTTGGAGCAGCTAGCATTGGCCCTGGTCGTTTCGGCGCGAAAACTTCGCCCTTACTTCCAGGCGCACGAAATCACGGTTATGACTAACCGGCCTCTTCGGCAGGTACTCCAAAAGCCGGAAACGTCTGGCCGATTGGTCAAATGGGCAATTGAGTTGGGAGAGTTTGACATACAGTTCACACCTCCTGCGCTATCAGAACCATCATCGCCGAACGCCATCCCTACCGCACCGGAGAAAATGGATACCGAACGTTTCGACACTTCTGTTCCTCTCTAGATCCTGCATGTGGATGGCTCGGCAAACCAGCAAGGCTGTGGTGCCGGCTTGGTGTTAACCACTCCAGACGGTAGCAAAATCGAGTATGCCCTCCGATTCAACTTCCGAACCTCTAATAACGAGGCAGAATATGAGGCCCTCCTGGCTGACCTTCGGCTAGCCAAGAGCATGAGCGCGAGGCAGATCAGCATTCACAGTGACTCCCAGCTCATAGTAAATCAGATAACGGCAGACTTCGCAGCGAAGGATGCCTCCATGTCAGCCTACCTATCGGCATCTCACCAACTACTACAAAAATTCCAGGCCTACGAGATACGGCAGATCCCCAGGTCAGAAAACAGCCACGCCGACACGCTCTCACGATTGGCTTCGGCAATAAATGACAAGATCAGAAGGAAGGTACCGGTGGAGATATTATCCCAACCGAGCACAACCGCCGCTGAGGTGTGTACCATTCGGTACGAAGACACATGGATGTCTCTAATCTATGCCTTCCTGACAACCGGAACCCTTCCTACCGATAAGTCCCAAGCTCGAAAACTCCGTTATCGATCGGCAAGATACACAGTCATCAATGATGTTCTGTACAAGCAAGGCTACACGACGCCGTATCTAAAATGCCTGACCAAGGAGCAGGTGGACTACATCCTTCGGGAGGTCCACAGTGGAATCTGCAGTGACCACTCTGGATCCCGATCTCTCGCACACAAGGTCTTCCGACAGGGGTATTTCTGGCCGACTCTGCACCAAGACGCGAATACATTAGTCAGAAAGTGTGACAAATGCCAGCGATTTGGTAGTGTCCCTTATATTCCTGCCGAGCCGCTGTCACCGATCGTGAGCCCGTGGCCGTTCGCCCAATGGGGATTAGATCTAATTGGTCCAATGCCAGAGGGCAAGGGTCAGGTCAAATATGCCGTTGTTGCCGTAGACTACTTCACCAAATGGGTCGAAGCCAAAGCCTTAGCAACGATAACGGCAGCCAGAATCGAAGATTTCGTCTGGACGAACATTTGTTGCTGATTCGGCATCCCCTATGCCATCGTCACAGACAACGGCAGGCAGTTTGACTCGGAAGTCTTTCGAGAATTCTGCACCCGACTCAAGATCAACCTGTTCTTTGCTTCGACAACACACCCCCAATCGAACGGACAGGTCGAGGCCATGAATAAAATTGTCAAGAAGCTGTTGAAACGGCAGCTTGACAAAGCCAAAGGAGCCTGGCCGGAAAAGCTTCCAGAGGCGCTATGGACCATCCGGACATCCTACCGAACGGCAACTGGGGAAACACCATTCTCCATGGCTTTCGGTACAGAGGCGGTAGTCCCAGTAGAAATCGGAGAGCCTTCCTACCGAACGGAAACCTTCGCACCGAAAGCGAATGAGGAGGCGCTTGCTTTGAGCCTCGACCTGCTCGAAGAACGCCGAGCACAAGCCAACCTTCGAAACGAAGCTTACAAGCAACGCGTCTCTCGGTACTATGACTCCATGGTCAGATCCCGCTCTTTCCGAATCGGAGATTGGGTCATGCGGAAAGTCTCTTTGGCGACCAAGAATCCCACGGAAGGAACCCTCGGATCTTCCTGGGAGGGACCCTATGAAATCATCGGTATCCAGCGATCGGGGACATATCGACTCAGAGACTCCAACGGAAAGACCCTCGGTCATCCTTGGAACGTAGAGCATTTGAAGTACTACTTCAAATGAAGTCACCTAGCCTACGACAGGGTTACGGAGGAGTCCCAAAAGCCTTCGGCATCTCTACGAACACAGCCTTCGGCATTGTAGCATTTCGATCGCAGTGAACTACGCATTTTGGCATCGTCATTATCCTACCGATTAAGGGACAACTTCGACAACCTTTATTAACCTTTATAAGCTTTTGGTAACTACAAGCCGTTGCTTAGCCATCGGCAAGCACGCCTATTGGTTTCAATTCCCTACCACTTTATTGGCCAACGGCTAATGATTCTTTTTGAGAGCCTTAGTCATTAAACAGAAAAATTTCCTAAGTACATTACCGATACGGAGGTAAGATGCAATCGAGTTAAAATTGAAACAAGCTAAAGTTAAAACACAACTTCAAATCAAAATATGCCCACGGCATCAAAGGTTCAGTCAAAAGATGCCCACGGCATCAATATTACATTAAAAGTACATAAGAAAATGCTCTCGGCATGAAGTTAAAAAGACAATGGGTGGAAATGAGAAGAAGCTTTTGGACGAGGCCTTCTATCAAGCGGCAGCCTCATCGGCTTCGGCGGCAACCCCATCGGCTTCGGCAGCACCCCCTTCGGGATCGGCTGGGACCTCCTCTGTCATGTCCTCCCCCTCGTACTCCTCGACCATCTCTTCGGTTATGCCTTCAGGAAGAGGGGGAGGATCGGCAATGAAGTTGAGGTTGAGCTTTTTCCCGGGGTTGTACCGCTTGAAATGGTAGAGTAGGTCCGCCATTTCCGAGCCTACCTCCTTGTCCAGTAAGGTAGAAAACTCGGTAGACCGACGGTAGCCCCGTACCGCCTCCTGAACGGCAGCCTCGATCACGGAAGCCCTGACCCGCTCGGACTCCTCAAATGCCACCTGGACCGCCTCCTTCGACTCCAGAGCCTCCTTTGCCGTCAGTTGCGCTGCCTCCAAGGCTGCAGACATCTCGCCAAGCTTGGCTTGATAAACTTTTACCTGCCGTTCGGCAGCCTGCATGTCCTTGGCCAAGTTCGCCTGAGCTTGGATGGTTTTGCCAGCTTCGGCAACCTTCGCTCTGCCGTCTTCGTATGCCTTCTTCGTCTTTTCAGCGGCATTAATGGCTCGCTTGACGCAGAGCCACATGTCCATTGAGGCCTGAACAGCAAAGGAAAACGTTAGATGGAAAGAGAAACGAACGGCAGGAAATCGCTAAAAACAGTAGGCACTTACCGAAGGTTGGAGACGGAAGGCGCGGCCAGCCTCCTCCCGAAGGAGCTTCTTCGGCAGGTCCTCGATCTCGGACAGCTCCATTTGTGAACCGAGGATCATATGGTTCACAAACTGTACCGTCTTCGAAGGACAGGCCAGGGTGACAGTTTCGGGAGGGGCCTCGTCGTCCTCGGCAGAGAAGATGGCCCGAGCAGGCTCGGCTTGTCGCCCGCGTTTTGGAGCAGGGTCGGCATCAAGGTCCACCGTGAACGGCCTTTTGCCTGCAGCTCTAGAGGAGGTACCTTCGGTAGGCGTGCCTCGGCTGGGGGACGGACCAGCATCGGCAACTTCGGCAGGCGCCGATTTAGCATTCATCTGGCGACGGCGCTCGTTGAGGGTCAGATCGTCAGGGTCCACCCCTCCCGAAGGCGTCGGTGCCGTTCCGGCCTGCCGCCCCTTCTTCTTCCCTTGCATGCCGAGCATGAGGCGTCTTTTCGAGGATTCGTTCATCCTCTTTACCTCTGCAGCTTTCCTCTCTTCGGTCATTGCAAGAAGGAATCGGTCAGATTCCCGATATACATCTTAAACTATCAAAATGGTAAAGTATGCTTACTCTCGGCAGGGTTGACGAGTTGAGCTTTGATGAGATTGGCGGTGAAGAGAAACTTCGGGTAAACCCTCTCAACGGCAGGGACCTTCAGCCTAACCCTTTCAATCTGCCGGATCTCCACTTGTGTAGCGCTCGGCTGCTTCAACTTGCCTGCACAAAGTAAAACGGAATTAGCACTACCAAAGGAAAACACGATCTACATGCCCTACCGAACGGTAGGATAGCCTACCGGCGATTTGGAACGTGGTTGGAATGTGAAAACGGACGGGATGTCCCAAGGGCGACTATCAGTCATCGGACAAAAGCACCCGCCGTTTCCTCCACGTCTTCTGGGAGGTTGGAACAGCGTTGACGAAGTCACCACGCTCGGTAGCCTTCAGGCAGTTAGCCTGGACCCAGCCCCCGTGATCGGCACACTTCGACTTCGTGACACTGTACAGATGGGAGAACTGCTCATACGAAGGCTCTCCCTCCCCAGCCATGCCGAAGGCTGTGACTACCCCCATTAGCGCTACCCAGAAGTTGGGATTGAACTGGACGAGAGCATAGCCTATCTGCGCCAGGATCCTCTGAACGGCAGGCTGCAAAGGGAGCCTCACCCCTTGCAGAAGCACGTCCGTGAAAAAGACGACTTCGCCGTCCTTCGGACCACTTAGAGATTCGGTAGGATTTGGGATCCTCATGCCTACCGAATCTGGTATGAAGTATTCAGCCCGAAATCTCGCAATCTCCCTCTCGGTGATTTTGTTGGGCTCCAGATAATCTACACCGAAGACGAGCTCCTTCGGAACCCCCATCGGCACCCTAGGATTGCTGGGGTAGACTACCTAGACCCTCGGCTGGTTGGATGGTTCGGCAGCTGGCTCACCACGGCCGGAAGTGGAGGCCTCTGGTTGGTGACTACCGCTCGCATCCCCAGGGGCGCCAAGCCCCACATGGCGACCGTCGCTATAGACAATAGACAACGGTACCGGAGCGGTCATAAGCCCCTTTCCGATGCCATGTATAGGGACGGAGCTAGGCCTTTCGCCGAGTATCTCGACATCGGTATCACTTCCCTCCTCGGCATCAGGCCCTGCCGCTTCAACATCGGAGTCAAAGAGACTTTCCGATGACTCCTCATCGAACGCGTTGGGCTCACGCTCGGAGAAAGACTCGCTATCGGACATCTACAAAAATAGGGAAGAAAGGAAACTAAGGTTCATGCCGGATACTATCCTACCGATCCCTACATCACTACCTATGACGACTAGACTACCGAATGGAACCCTATGGTCAGTCTAGTTCAAACCAAGGAAGGATGTAAACTCTTAAGGTATGTAAAGAGGGAAAAGTAGGGATACCGAACGGTACCTTAGTTCAACTTCTGGAAATGGACGCAGACTGTGCTTCAGATCGCCTGGACACGAATCGCCCTTCCTACCGTTAGTAGTACCGGAAATCGCCTGGTTACCGTTAGCTCTTGTCGGAAATCGCCTCAACAGAGCTCTCGTTTGCTCACTAAGTCCAAAGTGATTTCACCCCTGGAGTCGCCCCTATTTACAGGGTGAGCGCGCGAAACGGCATACCTCGAAAAGCCAAACGGCGCATTAATGCGCCGCGCGCCATCATTACTTTCGCCATGTGTCACTCATCCTGTGGGGAACAGACGGCACTCGAAGCGCGGAAGTCGAAGCGCTCAGACGTCCCTTCGCCCGTCAACTCTACGCGACCTTCTGACTTCATCGACGTCAGCCTCTGAACAAATAATGCCGGAATGGACAAAGTTTAGCCCCTTCCCCAAGTTGGACTGCCGAACGGTAGGGCCACGGTTCCTTCCGAAGACAACTTCAAATCCCCTTCCGAGAACTCTCGCAAGGGGACTTGGGGGACTCCTGTTTATACCAAAATGAACAGCCAATGAATATCGAACACGTGGGCTAAACCAGGGCCATGGGCGCCTTCGGCACCCACCTTCGGCACCCACCTTCGGCACCAAACCCACCGATCGCAACATTAGGGCAACCTCGCCCCCTTTGACGCGTGGCAGTCCCACAACTGACGTCCAGAGTCCCACATCGAAACTCTAAACAAATTGCACACCTCCCAAGGCCTATAAAAGAGGACAACCATCCCAACTTGGAGGTAATGAATCAGAACTGACGGCATACTGCCTATTGATCTGTAGTTCAACTTTACTAAATCCGTACTTACTTAAGCATCAGAGAGCCTTCGGCCGGTACCACACCGGTGCCCTAGGATTTACCGTGTGTTTGCTATCTTACAGATTGCACACACTACCGAGGACATCAGATACCGAAGAGACTTAATCACTAAGTTGCGCGGGAAAGTGCCGAACCATTTTTCTGCGTCAACAACGTACAACAACCTGAACCAATCCAAGATTCTGATGATGAGATGGAAGAAAGACCTATTCATCCACATGTTTTTTTTTGGGATCAAATAGAAACTTCACTAAATAAACTTCAACGATATATCAAAGACATCAACAAGACATCTAAAATACCAATCCCAACAGGGCAACAAACGAACTTGCTAAAAGCAAAACTAACGTGGACAAAAGCCGCACTAAAACTTCTAACCCACATCGCTACAATTAGCCATAAGCCCAAACAAAGCTCATAAAGCCAACATAACCAAACCCTAATTCATCCACATGTTGTTGCAGTAGCAGCTCCAGTTGCTTGAGGTCTATTTACCAAAAACCTTATCCTGCTCATATTAATGATATTCCTTTCCTAAGAGGTTTCAAAGTTCCAAATTTCAACTTATTCAATGGGGAAGATCTCTACGCTTCAGCTCTAGAACACATTAGGTGTTTCTTAGCTCATTGTGTTGCTATTAAGACTCAGCCCCTAGTGAAGTTAAGGTTGGTTGGAAGTTCATTATCAGGCCAAGCTTTTACTTGGTATTTAAATTTGCCTCCAAGTTCTATTCAAGACTGGAATGAAATGGAGACAGTTTTCATAGACCAGTACTATAGGTCTGAGCCCGAAATCATTATCAATAATCTTATTTATTTAAAGCAACATAAGCATGAGGCATATCCTGATTTTATTGCCCGATTCAAGAAGATCAAGATGAAATGTAAGATTCCAATGGAGGAAAAACATTTCATTAAAATTGCTCAAAATGCACTCGAATTTCTCTAAGGAAGAAGTTTGATGATACTAAGGCTTAATTTGGGATTGCTGCCGCTTTAAAAAAAAGCTGCTTCTGCTGTGCTTTAAAAAAAATCAGTTGTAAAGTAAAGCAGTTAAACGTTTGGTAAACTGTAATTTTAAAAGTGCTGTGAGTATGAAAAGCAGTGTCAAAGCATTTGGTAAATTTTACCGTAAAAGTGTTGTAACTATTTATAATGACTAAAATAGACATGATGCTGAAAGTGCTTTTTACTAATCTGTTTGATAAAAAATAAAACTGTAAAGTGCTTTTATACTTTTTTCCCTAAAAATTATATTAATCTTTGCTTAAAGAAAAGAAAAATTCAAATTGAATAAATTCCAACAAAGATAATTATGTATTGAATAAATTCCAACAAAGATAAAGACATCACCACGTTAGTAGGTTCATACACCATCCTTCATATTAAATAAGTAATAAATATTTCTTGAATGAATTATCTCAAATTATTCGTAAACTTTAGAGCAGCTGTATAACAAATTAGTTTTGCTGGTTGTAACAGATTTTGACTGGCATTGCTGGCCTCACAGTTTTGGCTCTTAGCTTGTGGAGATATTCAAGAAGACCCTAAAATTGTAGGTGACATTGACATAACAGAGCTCTAGATACATAAAAAGTGCCAAGGTTTCGGTAATAAGTTTAGGACGGTTCTTTTTTCTAAAATTGTATGCTTAAAGAAACCATGGACAACCAGTAGAAAAAATCTGGACATATAAAACCAGTAGAAACCATGGACAACCAATAGAAACCATGGACAACTAGAAAAAAAAAAAAAAAAAAAAAAAAACAAAAAAACAAAGCAGCGTATATAAAAAGTTTGAGAGATTGAAGAATCTAACCTTGTCAAAGAGATTGAGAGAGATTTAGCGAATGGTTGTCTCCAAACTTGGGAGGCTACGTGAAGATGAACTTTGGTGTCTATAGATTTGAGAGAAATACGTGAGGATAGATTTCTAACCTAATAAGGGTATTTGTGGAATTGCGAAAATTTCATTAAAGGGAGTGCGCTGCTTCAATTAAAAGCAGCTTTAAAAAACAACCCCGAGATTGCTTTCAAAAGCTGATGTCAAAAGACCATTGCTTTTAAAATAAGCAGGATATTTTATTTTTACCAAATACCTTAAACTGCTTAATTTTAAAGTTAAGCAGGTTTTTGGCAAAAAAAAGCAATCCCAAACAGGGCCTAAGTTTGTGGATCTTCAAGATATAGCTCAGAGGGCAGGGAAGTATGAACTGTTGCTAAAGAAGAAATTCAAAGGAAGAACACTTTCAAATCTACTTACTTGAATTCTCAGAATCCAATTCATCATATGGAAATCGTAGAGGGATTGGTTGAAAAAAGGCTCGAGCACATAAATACTAACATGGCCATTGCAGAAATTGTCCAGATCAAAACTCTTATTGCTTACAAGGCAGTAATCAAACCAAGTAGAGAACAAAGGAATACTCCTCATCCTACTCGAGGATTTGTTCCTTATAAGTAGAAGTACAAGTCATATTCTTTTGACTTGTCCAAGGTAGAGAGTATTTTTGATGAGCTAATGAGAGCCAAGATGATACAGTTTGATGATAAGCATGTTTTCACAAAGCCTGAGGGAGTCAAGAGGAAATCATACTATAAGTAACACAACTCTTTCTCTCATGTCATTGTTAATTGCTTGCAATTTAGAGATCAAATTCAAGATTTGATAGTAGATGGCAAACCCTTATGGATAAGCCTGCAAGCATGACAGTAAACAATAATCATTTTCCCACCAACATGGTTGAGGTCAATTGGCCTAACAAGAACAAAAGAAAAATCATTATGGATGTTGGGGAATAGGTTAGCGTGGGATAGGAGAGAAAAATAAGAATAAAATCCAATTAGAATAGAGAGTTTGTTTTCCTAGTTGAGTTAGTCCTTGACTTTTGATGCACTTCTTTGACTAGACCAAATGCCAACTAATCTAGGCAATCATAGCTGATTTATAATTTGACCTAACACAAGATTAGGTGCCTCCTAACTGCCCAAGGACATCCAAAACCCTGCTTACCAAGAATGGTAACTTGTGATGCAAAGTTGTCAAAACTCGCGCAAAATTCCAGCACTGACCCACTAGTACTAAAATTGATGTAACTTTCTCTAGAAAACTTGAAATCACGAACCGTAAAATTCTCCATAAACTAGACTTCTAGTGGTTTCCAAGAATATACAGCACGTTATCTGATTCTTCTTGAGCACATACAGTTAAATCCATAAGTTTGACCCATCTGCACATGCAGTTTCTTGAGTTCCAAGTTGCTAATGCCAAATTTCTGCCTTCTTTGCTCTTTTTCACAATATTTTTCTCTTTTTAGCTCCAACTCAACTTTAGAGACGATTTCCTACAAAACTCACACTAAACACATCAAAATAACCAATTTCACAGAAGAAACGAATGCAAAGCATAGGAATAGGGTATAGAAAATAAGCACAAATATGGAGTTATCAACAGTTTGGCGTCGTTTGTGGGGATCAACACAAAATGCTTCAATCGTTCTCCCCTTCTTCAATGCCCTTCGGCACTCCTCCGATTAGCACCTCCTAATTTTCCATTCGCAATACCTGTGCTGAAGAAATCATGAATCATCAAGGCACGAAGATGCTGAAGACACCATCGTTGCCAAAACCACGGCTTGCACGACTTTCAATCCAAAAGGAAGCCCACGTGATTCACTTCCAAGAGATAAGTGCAATATTTCCTGTGAATTATGATAGTCGGCTTTGACCGAAATGCCCCTCCACGTGAGAGGCACATATTCAATAAGTAACGGTGTTAGAAGAATTTGACAGAAATTGGGCATTGTCCTAAAATTGCTTGGAATTAAAAACCAAGTTGGTGAAAGTGACTAAATTGAAATCAAAGGGACCTTAGTGGTAAAATTGATAAACCACATGAATCGAAAGTGACTTTTTACCCTGAAATAGTGGTGGACCTAGTTTTGTTGGGTTCGGTTTAAACTTCAAAGCAGCACAACATCACAATTCAAACTGATTTAGTTTAGGCCCCAAGTTAGTAGCATAACTAATGCAAAACCAAATTATTTAGTGTTTGGTTGGGTTCATGTATTTCCCTTAATAAGAAATCGAGCAAATATTTTATATCCTCTTACATATGCCAAAGTGACTCATAAACTGAACATTTGAGAAAACTTATTATTATTGAAGATTTACAATTTTTTTTTAAATAAAAGCGATAATTTAAATTATAAGGGGATGAGGTTTTTCACACACACACACTACTAAGGTGCCATGGGCAGTGGCGGATCCAGGATTTGAAATCCATCTGGGCGAAACTCACATTAAAAACTCGAGGTTATGAGTGAATCTCATTAATAAACATAAAAATATACACCTAGTATGAGGACATAATGAGCCTTACCCTCAAATGCATCTCTATACATAAATAAAAGTATAGCGAAAAAAAAAACTATTCTTTTTCTTAAAAAAAAATTTCCAACAAATTATTTATTTTCTTAGGATTCGAATTGTGATCTGACATAACAAAAGATAACCTATTTAATCCAACATCCCAACAAAAAATCAAATAAATTATCATAATAACATCAATGCCTTTAATCAAACATTAACATACCAACAACAAATCAAAACATCTCAACAAAATTCCAAAATTCAAAGAGGAGATAATTAAAGAGGATAAATTTTAGGTTATGCATACATAACACATGGCTTACTTTTTGGGTGGGCATTGGTTTGTATGTTTCACATGGGTTAGCCTATTTTATATGGGTATTTTTTATTTTTGAAAATTTTGGGGTAGGCAGTAGCCTACCTTGCCTTAGGTATAAGACCGCCCCTGGCCATGGGGGTTCGAACATGAGACCACCGATATGCAAATCAAAGTCCTTTTCCACTGGGTTAGACTCCATTTGCTTGAAGATTGACAAATTCTGTAAAATAGATTATGTAAAATTTGAATAGGTTAGAGATTTCAATTGGCATTAAATGGATGTTATCAATGTGGAGGATTAGAAAATTATAATAACCAATAAGAGATACTAAATTTTTCCTGGAAAAAAGAAAAAGAAAAGAGATACTAAATTAATATAGATGGTTTTGGTTCGTTTATGCAGTTTCTAAACTGAAACAAACTAAACTAATCATAGTTTGGCTTGATTCAGTCAAATATTATACTTTTAGCGTAAAATCGTAACTGAAAACCAATAGCCAGTTTGAAATGGTGTATCCAGTTCGAAACAATTTATTTTCTTTGACAAATCAAGCGGACCCCACTCAGTTGGTTTGCTTGGTGTGGGCAGTTGGATCGGGTTTTTGCCCGCCCACGGGCACTGGGTCCGGTCCACTAACTCCAGTAGAGTTAAGGAATTCTTCCACCATATTCTCGCGGCGGGAAAAGGGTAAATTGGAGAGCGAATTGGCGGGAACAAATCGAAGCCCCGAAAGTTCACATATAAATACAGCCCTACTTCTACTAAACCATTTCTCCAAATTTCAAAACCTCTGATTCGAAAATGGGGAAAAAAAAGAGAGCTAGGGTTTCTGAGCAAAAGCAAGCACGAGAAGTCGAGGAAGAAGAAGAACAACAGCAAAGCGACGAGGATCACAACCCCACTTCCACCAACGAGAAGACCCTCTACGAGGTGATTAAGAATTATATTCAAAATTTGCGTGATGTGATTTGATTAACCTATTGATCTCTTTCTATAACCTAGAAAAATTAGATTTTTCGAGCTTTCACTGCCCTAATATGGAAAATTGGGGATTTTAAGGCATTAGGTTATGCTTGTTTTGTAGGTTCTTGGCGTCGATAGAAGCGCCTCTCAACAGGAAATAAAGAAGGCGTATTATAAGTTAGCGTTACGACTCCATCCTGATAAAAATCCGGGCGATGAGGTGAACGTCGAAAAAAAAATCGTGTTTTTGTTTGATGATTTTCTCTCAACTGTGAACTGTGGATTTTTTGCAAGTATAATTTGTCAGTTTTGTTTTATAGGAAGCTAAAGAGAAGTTTCAGCAATTGCAAAAAGTGATATCAATTCTTGGGGATGAGGAGAAACGAGCACTCTATGACCAGACTGGTTGTATTGACGATGATGTGAGTGTAATTTCTTCGTTTTGCAATTTAAAGAAAAACCCATCCTTTGTAACTCGTTTATTTTTAGACAATGCTGTGTTTAGCGTGATAAATTGGATGCATTACTAGAAATGACAAGTAAATGTGTCAATCCTGGTATTCTTAAATTAGAATAACTACTTCGTACTCACTCAACTACTTTGGAAGATCAAATTGGGGGTTTAGATCGTTGGGAAATCCAATGTTGCCTTACTAATCAAATGGTGCTTATTTTGGTTGTGCTTTTTTTCATGAGCAGGACCTTGCTGGTGATGTTGTTCAAAATCTGCGTGAATATTTCCGAGTACTATATAAAAAGGTCACAATGTTTTCACCTCTTCATGCTGTCTTTTGATGTAATAATGTTGTTTGTACTTTCTCTGGCTTTAGATTTATGACAACATTACATCAATTGCAGGTCACTGAAGCTGATATTGAAGAGTTTGAAGCAAACTATAGAGGATCCGATTCAGAGAAGAAAGATTTGATTGATCTGTATAGCAAGTACAAGGGTAATATGAACAGGTATTGGTAGTAGTAGCATTGTGTTTATCCTTTTTCCCTTTTGTTTTCCTGTTTGGTGCTGACAGTTGTTTCCCTTGCAGACTCTTCTGTTCAATGCTTTGTTCAGACCCTAAACTTGATTCACACCGTTTCAAGGATATTCTTGATGAGGCAATAGCTGCAGGTGTGGATGTCTTTTAAGCTAAATTTCAAAACAGGGTTTTCATTTGTTTCTAGTTTAATTACTTGAATATATTATTGACAATGCGAGTTTATCTATGTGATTGAAGGAGTACATGGGTTTAATGATTCATCAAACCTAGTCATTTCAAATTCATGATATTACATTATATCTAGTCATTTCTAATACATTGTATTTAGTATTTTTATGGTTCTACCAAATATAAGCTTATTGTCAAACTCAAGATCCTAATTTATTGTTTTAAATGATGTCTTAGACCAGGTTTGCTTGCTTCAACTTATAGATGCCCTACCACAAAACTTACATCATATTCTTTGTGTAGAGTCATTTAATCTGGGGTTGGACATGGTTTGATTGTTTCAAATTATAGACGTCCACAATACAACAGCAGACACTCAGATTAACCTGAATGTTGAATCAGATTCCCCCTTTAGTTAGTTCCTTAGTGTGGTCTTGCCATTTGGATTCTTTCCTCTTGACAGTGCTTCAGTTTTTTTGGGTTCAACGAATGAACCTTTATAAGAGTCTTGTTCCAATCATTTTGAGTCGGCTACACGAATCTTGGTCCTCCATTTTGTCGTATGACAAATCATTTCATGTAATTCACATCCTGTCATATATTTAATAATTACTTTTACTCATCCAAGCTCTATCAGCTATCTTGATTAAGTCACTCCTGATTGGTGCATCTATCAATCGTTGTTGAACATGCCTAACTGTCATGGTTGGGTCTCTCATTTTATCTCCAATGGGTGTTATTGGCACATCCTTAAAGTCATAGAAATCAAACTTTCTTTGCAAGTAATGTTAACAACATTGATGTACTTGGCATACTGAATTTTCCTGGATTTAAGGGTGTGCTGGAGTATCTTTCATGTTGCTGACTCTCTCTCTCTCTCTCTCTCTCTCTCTCTCTCTCTCTCACAGGAGAACTGAAATCAACCAAAGCCTACACGAAATGGGCAAAGAAAGTATCTGAAGCAAAACCTCCTACTAGCCCTCTAAGGAGGAAGGACAAGTGAGTACTTTGCTACAAGTTTATTTAATTGCTTAAATTTAATGTTTAGCTCAATCAAGAAATGAAAAACCTTTATGGTTAAATATTTTACAGACCAAAGAAACAGTCAGAGGATCTGTATGCAATCATATCTCAGCGCCGAAATGAGAGGAAAAACCAGTTTGATTCAATGTTCTCTTCTCTAATTTCCAAATACGGCGGGAGTAGTGCTGCTTCAGAACCCTCAGAAGAAGAATTTGAGGCAACACAGAAAAAACTTGAAAGGAAAATGTCCTCCAGAAAATCAAAGCACAAGTAACTTGACCTCCTGATAACGTCCTCAAATTTCTTTTCGCAAACAATGTAATGCCCTTTTGTTAGATATCTAAATGTGCATGGAAATTGTATGTGACCTTTTCTTCTGTTCATGGTTTTAGATGCATTTTCCCAATGCTAATGTCCTTGTGACCAGCCAGTTAAATTATCTTTTTCAATGAGGGTTTTTGGTGGTGTTGGAATTTTGCGTTACAATGAAAGTTTCGGGTGTTGTTGGGTAGCTGCAACTTTCTACATGGCCAATTGCTCCTTGAAAGTCTTTCTTAGCCAGTTGAAAAATTTGCAGATATTGATTCCTTTTCTGTGTGTGTTGGTAAACCACGGAGTACCTATAACCCGTCAAATTGGGATGAACGATACATCTCCCAATAGCTTTAGTTTTTAGGTGTTTTAGGTGTAGCTTTGAAGCTTTGAACCCAAAATATTGGTAACATTATTTTCTTTTTCAGTATTCTTTAAAGATAAGGTAAATTTTTATCTTTCCCATTTCCTTTTTTCACAAATTTTACGTTCACGTCAATTGACTTGATAGTCAACCTAATGAACGCAATACAAGGTTTTCAAAATGCTAGATTAGAGTCATAGATCAAAGTGAAATATCACCAAAGTTAAGTTTTTGGACTCTAATTGAGGATGTTTCCATGATTAGTTTTTTCTTTTAACAAGCGATATTAAGGGAATGAAGAATCGAATTTAGGCATTTAGGTGTATGAATAAATGCTTTTAATCACTTGAATTGTAAGTCCTTTGTTTATCTTGCAAGACACGAGCCATCATGATCAACTTCAAACATCTTGGTGAGTTTTTATTTTTCTTCTCCAATTTTCTTCAAGAATTATAGAGACAACTCATGAGATATTAAAAGAATAATTTCAGTAATAAACAATTTAGAGACCGAGTATTAAATGGAACCACAGCGACTAAAGTGGACCAGCACGAATTGTAGAAAACCCAAAATAGAAACCCAAAAAACAAAAAACAAATAGATTTTTAAGTTCCAAGGACAGTGACATCATAACTACGCGCTGGAAAAACATTCCCTGGTGAGACTCTCTCTCTCTCTCTCCCATGAATCTGAAAATGCAAGCAATGCTTTGCTTTTCTCTTTTAAGTCTTCATTCTCTTCAATACCTGTCACTTTAGCTTTTGGCTTCCCAAGCCCTCTCCTTTCTCTCTCTCCCCCACAAAACCAACTTTCTATTTGGTAGATAATCAACTTCCAATTAAGTATAGTTTTATTAAAGATTACACAATTAGCTGCCTCATTTGGTTTTACTTTGAGACTGCCCTTCCACCCTCTCATCTCTAAACTCTCTCTACTCTTTTTTTTTGGTAAGTCATCACACTCTTAATCATCATTTCAGTGCTCTTGTTGCTTTTACTTGAGTTTGTCCTTCCACCTCTCTTTCCTTCTGTCTTTGTCTCAGTTTCATGTATTGTTGTGATACTCATTATTATTCTGGAATTTAGCTTTACTCATTTATCTCTCTCCCTCTCCCTCTCTCTCTCTCTTACCTATAAGATCTCTCTAGTTTTTGGGAAATTTAGTAGCCTCAAAGTCTCAAGACTCTCCCTTTGAGGAGCATTACAGAGCTGTTGGTGCTTTACAAGCTGATTATTGCGTTTTTTTTTGTTTGTTGGTAATTCTGCAAGTTTTTCTTTTCTGGGTTTTTAAATTTTGGGTCGAATTTTGCTATAAAGGAGCAAATTTTCTTGGTACTATATGAATTGAAGGTTATGAAATTGATCCAAATTGGGTGAATGTAGCAATTTTGACTCGACCACCGAAGCTGGGTTGACTTACTGAACTGTGTATCTTCTGGGTTTTGAAGGTCTTATTAGGTGACTATGGAGACTGATGATGGTGAGATGAAGTCAAAGATGGAGGATTATGAAGTCATAGAGCAGATTGGGAGAGGGGCATTTGGAGCTGCTTTTCTTGTTCTTCATAAGACTCAGAAAAAGAAGTAAGAGTATTTTCTACTAACCTTTTTTTAAATATAATTTTGTGTACTTTTAAAGGGATCTTTTCTTAAATAATGTAATTCTTGTAATCTGCTAGACAATTATGTAATTAAAGACAGAATTTAGCAAGAAAACTGAATAATGGGGTAATGGGAACTGTCTGATTTTTTCTATACACTTTATCAAAGTTTACATCTCAGGGTATGAATTTTCACAAGAAAGGTAATCGAGAATCCAAAGTTCTGTATTTGATTGATAGTACAATTGGTACCCAGCTCAACTTGATTAAACCTATGTTTTGCCAACTGCGTTTAATTATTAATTATTGAGTTTTTCTTTTGATAGGTATGTATTGAAAAAGATTCGTTTGGCTAAGCAAACAGAGAAGTTCAAACGCACAGCTCACCAAGAGGTTGCTTTCTCGAAAACTGTTTGCATATTGTTAAATGTAGAACTGGCTGTCAGCTACAATTTTTTATTTTTCAAATTGTTCCATTTTTTAACATGATACATTACCAATCAAAGGGTTAGGTTTTGTTTTGTTGTTCTCTCCCTCTTTGCATATCAGCTGTACTCTGAGAATGAATCAAATGTAGCATCAAGTATCCATCTTTCCTGTTTTCTTGGCAGTCAAAATAGGATATATAAGCTCCAACTTCATTCTTTGCTTGTCCATATCAGTACTGTCATTTCTACCTCTTGGGCTACAATTCATTCTGTACAAATACCAAGATCTGTTTATGTAACAATCTACTGGGAAGTGCGTTCTTGAAACGATATCCATATGAAAACAGAAGAAACAAGCATGCTTTTGCACAGACATTTGAAATATGTATCTCATAACTACAATGATCCTGGATTGTAACCTTCTGGTTGGATAATCCCCTGTTATATCCACTTAGAAAAGACGATAAAACTTGTTTTGTCCTCCAGCTCAATACTCTATCACTAGTGTTTTTTTTCTTTTCATTAATGTGTTTCTGATATTCTATCTAGTTTTCCACCCACCATATATGAAGAAACGCTTAATTGTCAATGTCCTTCAAGTGAGACTGAAAGATGTGTTCCCTCAATTTCTTTTGCAGATGAATTTAATTGCAAAGCTAAACAATCCATATATCGTGGATTATAAAGATGCTTGGGTTGACAAGGTAAATCTGTGATTCTTTAATAAAGTTCTTTATATTTGAATACGGCTTGAGAGTATAAATTTGGAGAAGTCTTTCGCTGTTGTAACAATATTTCACTTCATACATGCATGCTTAAACGTTTATATTTTCTGTAGGGAGACTGCGTATGCATTGTTACAGGCTATTGCGAAGGAGGTGACATGTAAGTAACAACAATGTGGATCATTGCTGTTCTAGATATGTTTTCTCTGGTATGCTAGAATGCCCGTTTTCTTCTTTAAATGAGGAATTGATTTGAAACAGCCATTTTTCAAAACATGTTTTGCTTCTGTAACGAGTTAAAACACTTATTTCAGTCCTCAATTCTCATCCAAATATTAGCTTGAAACTCATTGATAATCCACATGATTTTTGGACGAAATATAGGAGGAAATTTAGTATCATATTTTTCATAGTCAACATGTTAAACTACGTATATATACTGTTCAGTCCTGTTCTTCTAAAGTCCATAAATAGGGTCCTTCAATGAAGTCTTGTTTCTCAGTCCTTAGACCAGATATTGGACAGCCGTGATGCATCTCAACTGTCTATATCTAATCTAATAGATGAGAATTAAGATCTCATTTAAGGAACTTCACGGAGTATTGATTTTTCCTTTTCAATATTACATAAGAATTAGAGAATCAATCACAATACTTCCCGTGATTAACGAATGAGAAACAACTTATTTCTTAACAGAGCTGAGATGGTAAAGAAGGCCAGAGGACAATTTTTTCCAGAGGAGGTAATCAGTGTAACTTCACGTCCTGTATATGCACCTATGTAAAGGGTAGAAACCAACTGCTCTCTGTTGCCATTCTGTTTTGCCCTGCAGAAGCTCTGCAAATGGCTGACTCAATTGTTGCTAGCTGTGGACTACTTGCACTCCAATCGTGTACTTCACAGGGATCTTAAGGTAATATAGTGTACCTGTAGTTGCAGTGAAGATAAATACATATGATGTTTGTTTAATACAAATATAATGTTTGCAGTGCTCCAACATATTCCTTACAAAGGACAATGACATCAGACTTGGTATGTAGACATAATGATTGCTAAGAGAAGCGATGTTTTTCTGCATAAGGTTTGGCTTCCATGTATTGATGTTTTTAAAGATATGTATATCTTACATGGACCTTGTAGGTGACTTTGGACTCGCAAAACTACTCAACACAGAAGATCTCACTTCTTCGGTATGAACTCGCATTTACATTATTTAATTGTCTTTATGCCCACCTACAGAACTGTCTCTTAAAACTTTTTACGTCTCTTCTTTCATGAAAACTTCCATAGAATAGTTACAAACTTCTCTTGCTTCCCCACCACCAAGCACTATATTCAAACATTCCAAGTTTGACAAGGCCACCTTATCTTAGAGAGGATAGTTCCTCAGTATTTGTGGCTGAACTTCTAGAATGTCTGTTAAAACCTGCAACTACTTCACTAAATCCACTTATGTCAGTTCATCTTCAATCCCTATATTTTCAACATAGGTTGTTGGAACTCCAAACTACATGTGTCCTGAGCTCCTTGCAGATATACCTTATGGCTATAAATCCGATATATGGTCGCTTGGTAAGAACTCTAGAATCTTATAGTTATATTTTTACAGGCTCATGCCCATGATTTTGAATAGATATAATTTTTATTTTCTATTGGTTTTTAGGTTGCTGTATGTTTGAGATTGCTGCACATCAGCCTGCATTTAGAGCTCCTGTAAGTATAAGCTTGAGCGTTTGATGTTACATTGATATTATTGGCTGCCAAAGATGCGTCTAAACCTGTTGGCATATATGTTTGAGTAAATAAATCCTATAAATTACCTGATTAAACAGGACATGGCTGGGCTTATCAATAAAATTAACAGATCCACCATTTCTCCTCTACCAATCGTGTATTCTTCCACACTGTGAGTAATATCTTCAAAATCATCAGACATAATGGTGCTATTTTAAATGAATATTCTAACTGCATATTTCCTGTCTTTTCTTTTCTAATTTATCAACTTATATGGTATGGCCTCCGGATCACAGGAAACAAATCATAAAGAGCATGCTGAGGAAGAGTCCAGAACACAGACCAACAGTGAGTTAGCTAACCCCTGACTTGCATGATGTAAAGAATTTGAGGACCATTATTTTTTCTAACACTCCCATAATCTATTACGTTAGGCTGCAGAGTTATTAAGGCATCCGCACTTACAACCATACCTTCTTCAATGTCGCAATGCATCATCTGTTTTTCTTCCAGTAAAGCCAGTAAACAACTTGAAAGATAAAACTACTAGAAAATCACCTCCTAGCAAACCCAGTGGTGGCAAAGACAACAGAGACAAAGAGGCTGGAACACTGAACCACCTGGAAAAGGTCCATCCATTTGAGAGCGGTGCTGATGTGACGCATAGGTATATAACAAACATTGATAACCCTGTATTCAAAGTTAGTGCAGAAGAGCTTGAAATGAAGAGGGTTGGCTGTTCTATGGAATTATCCAATGCCACTGATGCTTCAAAAGATGGACCAACTGATTCAGAAGCATCTGTTTGCAATGGAGATAAGCAAGCTGACATTATCAGCATACACCAAAAGGAAAATACCGAGTCTGACATTGAAATTACATCAGAGAGCACACCAAATTCTCAAAATGAAGAACGAGAAGAACCTGCTGCTACAAATTTCAAACAGTTGCCAGAGGTTGATGTCAAGACTCCAAACAATGAAGATGGAAAGGCATGTAGAGACCAGCAAGTTCCTGAAGGAGCTAGAACAGAAGGAGAGGGTGCTAAAGAAGAGAATTGTAGGGAATTGGTGGTGCCCAGTGTAGGCTGTGCCAACAAAGTTGGATCCCCTGAGGATAAATGCTCGTCATCAGCTAAATCTGAGGTGGAACCCGGAAGCTGTTTACTGAAGGAAAGTTCCAATGGATATCCTGTAGGTGGTCACCTGGACTACTTGTCATCTGAAAGCAAAAATGATTGCTCCATACAGAAAGAAAAAGATGAAGTGGGAGCAAAGGCAGACAATAATAATTGCTCCACGCAGACAGAAAAAGATGATGCTCATGTGGTTAATCAGGCACCAAGTGACATCTCCTTGAGCACACTAACTGCAATAGGTGGTGATGATTCCAAGAGTGACTGGGAAAATCCAAGTCAGCAAAGAGCTGACGCCCTGGAGTCTCTGTTAGAGGTATGCGCTCGGCTATTAAAGCAGGACAAACTTGAAGAGCTTGCTGGGGTGCTAAGACCATTCGGAGAAGACGCTGTCTCGTCTAGAGAAACAGCCATCTGGTTGACAAAGAGTCTCATGTCTGCACAAAAATCTAATGGAGGATCCTAATTTTTGATGGACATTTGTCTGTAATTTATTCAATCTTGTTTAAAAAAGAAAAGAAAAGAAAAGGTATTTGTTTCATCTTCTTGACATAAATTTGTTTGTCAACCAGAGTGGTGTTTGAACATTGAAGATTAGAGTCGGAAATAACATATTGCTGAATGTAACTGAACATTGGCCGTAATAGAAATTGGATGTGAAAACTTTTACTGCTGTCTAAATATGCATTGTAATTGCATGCTACATTTATTCTTTTAGTTTTGGCCTTATGAGGTGAGCCATAGAATAGAACAAAGTTTTGAAAGAATACAGGCAACTGAATTTAAGCAAGTAGAATATATAAATCATTAAGATTCAACAACATTGATAACATAAATAAACATCCTTCTCTTGGGAATCCCTTCTTCTAAGTACTTATTTAACTCTCATAGTCTCATCAAGAATTTTGTATTCCCTGAGCTTACTGCAGGTAATAGCCAAAGAAGGACATCAGGAAGGCACCAGCCAAAGAGCCGACAACGGGCATGGCAGAGGCGGCGCCTGATGGGCTGGGGGCATGAGCTGAGGTTGGTGTGCCGGTTGCAGAGGAAGGAGTTGGGGAGGCTGCTGAGCCCACGGGGGCTGCTGAGGCCTTGGGGGTAGCAGCACCAACACCACGAGCAGCAGCAGCAGCTGCTAGTGGATCCTTGGGGAGGTCAGCTGCCAAGACTACGCTCACGAAGGCAGCGACGACGATGATGGCAAGGGAGATCTTCTTCATTTCCATGATGAATTGTTTGAAGTGAGAATAAGTTGATCAACAACAGCTGCCTTAGAGATGAATATGAAGTAACTTCTTGTTTCTTCTTTGTTTACTGCAGGTGCTGATGAATGTAGATGAATTGGAGAGTTCAATATATAGGGAGCATTTTGGGTTATTATTAGAATCAAACAGTTGTTGGTTAAAAATGGGTCATTACGTGCTTGGTTTTGCACGGTATAAGGAATTATTGAACGGTATTTTTGCATATTAGTGGTCAGAAACGAATTCAAATGTCTTAATTTGCATGAAATAAACAAGAAAAATGGAACCAAATTAAGAAACAACCATTTTAGTATGTTTGGTGCAATGTTGGCCCTGCACCCTATTAATCTTCACAACAAAAAATGTTACTTCGGCATTTTTCTAAAAGCATTTCTATATTATCTGTTCAATATATACTTATCAAGGATTAAACATGGAACATCCAATAATGTGATGTGATGATGTTCGATTGTTCAAATTTGATGTATCCAAGGTTAACAAATGTTTCTTTTCTTCTACCATGTCAAAAATTTCCAAATCATCTATTTACGGCTGAGAATTTCTATAGGAGTTTATGCCTTTATATTTTTAGTATCATCATATACGAGTTTATTTTTTGTGCACGAATTTTGTTCACTCACACACTATCACAGTATCATGGGAGCTCGAACATGAGACTACTAACCTGCAAGTCAATATCTTTTTTCACTTGGCTAGAACCCATTGACAATTCTTATAAATCTTCAGATTGAATCATATCTTTGACCATTGATCATCTTTAAGCGCATAGTCATAGTCGCTTATGAAAAATTCAGAACTTAAGCTAAACAGTTGGCATAGGCCTTCCATACATAGTTACATGAAAAAGAATAGTTTTGATAAGTACACCAAAAATATAGGTACAAAATTCGCCTAAAATAAAATTTAAAAAATTTGCTACACATAGACTAGTAATTAATTCAAAGATCTGCTCTTCCAGCAGATCTAGGGAATGGCATGCAATCCTTAATATTGTCGAGCCCAGTAGCAAATTGAACCATTCGTTCAAAACCCAAACCAAAACCACAATGCTTTACAGTCCCATAGCGCCGCAAGTCAAGGTACCACTCATATGGCTCAATTGGCAGCCCCATCTCCTTCATCCTGCAATAATAGTTTCATCAAACAATACATACATTTCTCAGTTCAAACTATCCATTACTCAAATTATGGGGAGGGGCAAAACAGCTGCTATGGAAAACATTGTGCAAGCCAAAATAAAAAAAAAAAAAAAATTTTTTTTTTTAAAAAAAAAAAAAAAAAAAAAAAAAAAAAAAAAAAAAACAAAAACAAAATCAAAAAAACAGACACTAAAAACACACAAAAACCTGCTCAGCATAACATCATAACGCTCTTCCCTTTGGCTTCCCCCTATCAACTCACCCACCTGAAATATAAGAAAAGCATAAACAGCACACAAATTACACACAATGCTCAAGTATATACAACAGAGCAATGAACTCAATTATATAAATTTAATGTTCCGAGTATAATGCCCACCTTTGGTACCAGGACATCCATAGCAGCCACTGTCTTTGAGTCATCATTGAGCCTCATGTAGAATGCTTTGATCTCTTTAGGGTAATTGTAAACAATAACAGGCTTCTGAAACTTCACCTCAGTCAAGTATCTGCACGAAACCAAAGCGATAAATTGGTAAGTTGATTTAATCAGAAACTGTAACAATACGAACAACATAATAATGCTATGAAACTACCTTTCATGCTCAGATGCCAAATCAATCCCCCACTCTACATGGTTCTCAAACTTTTTACCATTTTTAACAGCCTCAGTTAGCAGCTCCACTGCTTCTGTATAAGTAATCCGTGCAAATGGTGTTTTAGCGGACATTGTTATACGGTCGATGCAACTTTTATCAATCTTGTCAGCAAAAAATTCCATATCTTCCATACAATGGTCAAGTAACCACTGACACATAAATTTCACATAATCCTCTGCACAATCCATATCATGCTGCATATGCACAAACTAAACATTAAAATCATAAATGTAGATTGAAAAAACTACACTAAATTTAAGCTTCAAGTACCTCAAGCTCTGCAAATGCCATTTCTGGCTCCACCATCCAGAATTCTGCCAAATGCCTTGAAGTATGTGACTTCTCAGCTCGAAAAGTTGGCCCAAATGTATAGACGGTACTAAGAGCGCATGCGTAAGATTCGAGTTGTAGTTGGCCAGAAACAGTCAAAAAGGCTTGACGGGCAAAGAAATCTTGGCTATAATCAATCTTCCCATCCTTTTGAGGGATACCGGGTTGAAGCTTAGATCTCTCCTCCATCTTCAAGATATTCTCCTTTGCCTTTTGAAGCTCAGCCACAGCAGCGCCAATTTCCTGCTTACTTGCTTTAGCAGATTTGAGTTGAGCAACATCATTTCCTCTCTGCTTGATAATAAGCTTGGCAGATTCTACGTCTACTTCTGATGGAGGAGGGTTCTTAATCAGATTCTTTTCCAATTTTTCAGCTTCACTAATCAAGGTAGTGACTTGAAACATCTCACCAGCACCCTCACAATCACTGGTGGTGATATTTGGAGTGTTCACGTAGCGGAATCCACGCTCGTGGAAAAATCTCTTGGTTGCATATGACAGTTCATCTCTGATTCTGGCAACCGCGCCCATCTAAAAGCAAATACACGACAATCAAACACTAGTTATCAAAAGCACATGTCCTACAATGCAAACAGGGTTACTTACCGTGTTGGTTCTGGCACGCAAATGGACATAGTCCCTCAGAAGCTCAAGGGGGAGCCTGGTCTTCGGCAACGGGTACTTCAACGCGTCAACCACACCCACATGGATCACCTTCTGGACTTGAAGCTCCACCTTCTGCTTTTTCCCATCAGGGGGTAGCTTAAGCACGCCATCCACTTGCAAGCATGTACCAGTCAGCACAAGCTGCCCAAGGTCACCCTTGTCTGCTTCCACAATGATCTGTAGGTTGCTAGCACATGACCCATCATTCAGCTCTAGGAATGCAAATGCATCCTTGTCTGCCTTCCGGCCAGTTTTCACCCACCCACCAACCCGGGCCTGCTGCCCTGCTAACCCAGACCCTCCATCAGGCCTCAAAATGATGGATCGGATGGGGACTCTATCGGAATATTGCGCTCTTTCAACTGAGGTAGTCATCTTGCTACTTGCAGATTGACAGATGACAGAAGCACCTAAATATAGCTCAAACTTTTAACTTGGTCTCACATTATTTGCATATTAATAACAAATTCATAAACTTGTATTTTAATCAATAACAAATTCATATTCTATACACAAAAACATAAAAAACAAATATAAAACCAAATCCTACGTTTCATATTCTATGCACAAAAACGTAAGAAACAAACAAACATATAAACCACCCACAAGCTCCAACCCCCAAACGAACCTAGAACCCAAAACTATAAGGACAAAATTGATCAAATTGAAACGACATGGACTAAAAATGACTTTTTGGCTTTAAAAATTTTCAATTTTTCAACCTTAACAATGTTTGGAAAAATAAAAGATAGAAAACAATTGTTTATTTAATTAGATATCAAAATTTTCTACAATTTCCCTTTTGATGTACATAATCAAAACAATTTTCAGATGCTACTGTCTCAATATTAGAATTAGGTACAGATGAGATAACTTCAGATATTTCAGTATGTTTTTTTTTGAAAAATCCATCAATTCTAAGTTGTTTCTTCATCTACAAACCAATTTCAAATTTTATTAAGGACATGATTCATAAATTATACCACCCAAAAAAATTCATATTCTATGCATAAAACATATAAGATACGAAACATATAACTATATTCTCATATTCTATACAAAAAAAATTTCACTCATATAAACATACACAAATATATTCTCATAAAAAATAAATAAACAAAGGAAGAAAACTATGACTATGTAAAGTTATCTAACCTGTAATTAAAAAATTTGAAGCAGGAGCTTCGAGAGCAAACAACCAAATTCAATTTTTTTTTCTTTTGATGTGTGCGACTGCTTCAAACTAAGTTTATGTTGCTTTATATAGGAATAAAAATTAAAATCCCAATCCTTTTTTATTTGGGTAAAAGTCTACTTCCTATTTAATAAAAGAGATTTTTTAAAACTTTATTTAATTGATTGTTTTTATTTTTTATTAATATATTGGTGGGCCCAAAATCACTTAGTCTTTCTACTTCCTATTTCATAAAAACAAAGAAAAGAGAAACGCATCTTATTGTGAGGGGGGCCACAAAGAATTGAAGGCAATTCAATGTTTTCCTTTTTCGCGTGCCCAATTCAAAAGACCATGGCTATGTCAGGGATACAGAGCAAAAACAAGGCGGTCTGAAATTATCCCAACGGATAATATCTGAGAGAAAATGGGATGGCATAGTTTTTAGGGTTGATTTCAAAAAGCGTAAAACCATTGATTGGGAATTTCTAGATCATTCGTGTCACGTTGGAAAGGAAAGATTTTGGAAGAGGCAACATGGATAAACGGATGTTTGAAACCACTTAATGTTTCAGGCCAAATGACAAAATGGCAAAAACAGAAAGAAAAAAAAATCACACACAACAACATCAGACCAACTACATTATTCACACACAAAACTTCATGTAAATGAAATCGAATTACATACACACATGAAGCTATAAATCAAACCAATAAGAAGCCTGACGAAAACTTACCCGATTGTAGAGAAGAGATGAGCCACTAAGCTGAAGGGTTGTGGCTTTCAGACTTTGTTTGATGGTGTTGAAATTTGATTTTCAAATAGTTGCTGTCTAAATAGGATTTGATGTAATCCCAGAACTCTTATAAGCCGAAAAAACAATCCTTGTTGTACAAGGATTACAATACAAATAGGAAATTACTTGCAGCAAACAAAGTAGACCTTATTGAACGAGCCTGCAACTTCCCTTTTTAAAAAAAAAAAAAAAAAAAAAAAAAAAAAAATTTTCCTTTTCCACAAGAATCATCTCCCTTTTCTGCAAAATCTTCTTGTTTTTTTTGGTTTGGGTCAAATGGGGAAGGAAACCAAGTCTCTCAGTATGTAAACAGCACCTCACAGTTTCTTTTCATCCCATATCAGAATCAGTATATGAAAAAGAAAAGATTATATGATCAAAGGGGTAGAATAAGTTATTGGGCGTAATTAGAAGACACTGAAAAGAAAAATTAGAAGAAGAAAAAAAAAAAGAGAAACGATGAAGAAGAAGAGAGGAGAGGCGCTGCAGAAAGTTTTTAGGGTTTTAGTTTTTATTTTATGTTTTACGCAAATTATTTTTTAAAATTAGAATATTGTGATGTGTCAACTCTCAACACCCTTGGATTAAATTTAATGAGGTGGCATATGAAGAGCAAAATTTAAGCAAAGTATGATAGGGAAAATCAAAACAGAGAATCCGAATCCTTGATCAAAACACTTCTATATGAGGTAGAGCCCCCAGGATCTTGAGAATTTATAAAAAATAGCCAAAACTTGACCCCTAATATCAAAAATGTCAGTTTTTGTAAAACATTTCAAATATAGCCAAAAACTCACCTAAATAGACACAAATACCCTCAAATTTAAAACCCACATAAACCTGAAAAAGAAACTTTATTAAATAAAACTTTGGAATATTTTTAACCCATGTTTGTATATATATAGAAGAACATAAGTTGATTTATATCATCCTATTTATTGATAAATGAATAAATTTGTTTTCAAAGGGTGATGCAATAGATTACGGACAATGTGTACAAGAGAACACACTCGCATCAAAAGTAACCTAAGTAAACTAAAAGTATCAATCCAACTAGGGGCAGAGGTACTCTAGGGCCTAAGGTGGCCCTGGTCCCTCCACAATTTGTTCTTAACACAGTAAAGCCTGGGTTTTTGTTCATATATTTAACAATGCAAACCATATAATCATTCTAATGGCCCCCCAATTGCAATCCATAATAACTTCATTTATAATTATATATAAAATGTTTGTGGCCCATTACACAACTAACATAAAAAAAAAGAAAAAAAAAGGAAGTATTAATCCTCTAATAATCAAACCGATGAGCCAAGGGAATATAAAATAGTTTGACCAAAAAAAAAGGAATAAAAAATAAATATTTAAAAGAAAATGAGATTTTATCAGTAGACTTTTCCGTTTTGATACATGAAATTGAGTACAAAGTTCTAAAAAATTGTCCATTTTTTCATATATATATATATATATTATTGATGCAAGATTGATTTTTTATGTTCCTATACTTGTATTACGGTTCGGCCCCTACACATACAATCCTTGCATTATCCAACACAACATTAGTAAAATAGCTAATACTTAATAATATGCAATATGTAATATTCAGCATACAAAATCTATCCTTCCACACCATATAAAAAATTTGGATAAATTTGGAATTACAAAGAGATTAGAATGCTAAAGTAAAAACGAATGGTGAAGCAAGTAAGAAACAACAATATTATCAAGTATCTTGCATTTTTTTTAACCACCAAACAAAACTAAAGCAGATTAATAAAATAGGAATCCCATGATAAGTTCTAGAACGCTGCTCCTAGAAAATTACATACTAAAATGCAAATTAAATTTAAAAGGGAAGTTAGAAGTTAGGCAAGGAAGTTTAAAGTGCAGTAATCTGCAGACAGAGGAAACTTTTATCTTGATGTGAATGGAAAAAGTCTGGCTTATGTTTCTTATGGTTCACAATTCAGATTCACAGTATACAATTTCTGTTTAATTCACCAACAAAAAAATGTTGTTTTTCAATGGTTTTTGGATGCCCTATATGTAATATAATTTAGTATGAAGACTAAACGAAGAAGAAATTGAACGAAGAATCAAGGAAGAACTGCACTCACCGTTTGACTAAGGCAGAAATACGTATGCAAACATATGTATAAAGATTCCCAATCTAATAGGGTTTTCTTTTGTAGGTTTATGTGGATTTTAAATTTGACGGCTTTGTGTTTATTTAAGTGAGTTTTTTGTTATATTTGAAATATTTTACAAAAACTGACATTTTTGAAATTAGGAGTCAAGTTTTGGCTATTTTTGATAAATTCTCCAGGATCTCAAGACTTGATCCTCAATTTTTATTTTTATTTTCAATTCAGACGTATCCAAAGGCCAAGGACCTACAAGTTTTTGGGCCACGAGTTAAGACCATAAATCACCTGATGCTTTGATACCACTTGATCCAAATTAGAATTTATTTTTGGACAATAATCACTTTTGTTTTCAATAAGATTGGCAATTCAATTAGAAGAATAGAGGCAATTCAATTAACGAAACTAGCATAGCTAGTCAAAATACATGAAATAAACGTGATCCTTTCTTCTCTTGGAAATTAATCCATCACGATCTCATGAATCTCATTTTCCTAATTTCCCTTACAAGAATGACTTATTCTCTGATCTGAACCATTACTGAAGGTAATAGCCAAAGAAAGCAAAAATTAAGGCACCAGCCAAAGACCCAACAACCGAAAAGGTGGTGGCGGTGGCTCCGCTTGCCGGGGCAGGGGCAGCAGCCTTGGGAGCAGCAGCCTTGGGGGATTCCTTCTTCTCAGCTGCCAAGACAACACTCATCAAGGCAGCAATGAAGATGATGGCAATTGAGATCTTCTTCATGTCCATGTTGAATATTGATAATTGTTGAATGTGAACTTTGAAGTGAAAATAAATCTAGAGTTCCTGGAGACGAATATGGAAGAACTTGTTTGTTTACTGCTCTGCTTTGATCTAGTTTTTGCAAGTTTGAGGAATAGTGAGGAAATATTGGAGAGGTTTATAGGGAGCAATTTGGGTTATTTTTAGAATGAAACACTTGTCTTCAGTTGTGCTATTAGTTAGGAATAGGTCTTTTACGTGTCTGGTTTTGCATGTCACGAGGAATTTTGTTAACACTTGTTTTTTATTTTTTCATTCGAGTGGTATGAAACATATCCAAATAAATCTCGTTTTTACACATTCTTACTTCTTTTTTGGTCAAACGTTTTACAATTTCTCTAGTTTTAAGGGGTTGGTCTACCATGCTGCTGCTATATGGATACAAGTATAAACAGTTGTATGGTTTCTTAACACTTAGGCTAGTATATGGACACAAGCATAAACAACTGTATGGATTCATAAAAAAAGAAGAAGAAGTAGAAGAGAGAGAGAGAGAGAGAAGGGGATAAAGATTTTTGACGCAACTAAGCATTCCTTGATATTTGGGAAAGACAAAATTGGTCATGACTCAACTATCAACAAATAAGCCTATATATCCAAATTTGAATCGCATTATAAGCAGATTATCGTATTCTAATCCTACAGTCTCGATCTCTTGGACCACAGGAGTCCAAGAGATTTTGGTTACCCACCATTGAATATTAATCTAATTGTTCAAAAAAGTTTCTTAAAAGGAGTGCAATAGTGAGTAAACCGTTGAATTTACATCCAATGGTGAGTGACCACAAATCTCTTGGACCTCTGTAGTCCAAGAGATTAGGACTGTCTAATCCTATTCAAATTATTGATTGAACTTGTATCAAACCATATCAAACAAGCATCATATTTGGATAATATCGGGTTACGATGAGATTCATTTTAAGACTTAGAAAATATTAAAGGATTTATTGTTATTAGTACTCCAAAATAGTCATTCTTCACTCATCTTTTTCTTATATATTTTTTTCATTAAGGAGCGCAAGATTACTATTTTGGAATTGGATGTCCGAAATATTAGAGCACATATATAATTACCGAAATCGATGTCGTTCTTTTCTTTTTGTATTACATTTTAAGTTCTTGATATTTGATACTTGTATCAAGGTCGGTTTAGAAAAACACTTTGATCCTCACCATGAAACTGTAAGGTTTCGAAATAGGGTCAGTTTAGGACTTGGCGCATTTAGGATTTTTTTTTTTAAAAGGTAAAAGCAAGAAATATTATTAAAAGCAGATGATGAGACAAATGATACAACTACCATAATATTTAGAACAATACTAGATACCCCCTAGTGTTACTATAGTACTACATATTGGCTAATATAACTACAACGAAAAGGGTGATTGGTGTGATTGAATCCAAAATAAAGATACAGTCCATGATTTTTCTTTCCAGGTACGCATATACTTCATTTCCATAATCACATTTCCAGGTACAACATAAAGAGCTTAGTATTGTTAGAAGTTTGAATGAAATTCAAGAACCTTTGTCCCACATTGATAGAAAGTAGAAAGAGTGTCTTTATAAGCGTGGAAGTCCCACACTTAGTAAATGGAAGTGGGCCAAGTGGAAGCAAATTGGGCCTAAAAAACAATTTGGGCTTTAAATATTATATAAAATTATATAATATTTAATAGTCAAAATGGGGCACTTGGGCACTTTCAGATTTAAAATTATTTTTTTGGTTTCAAATTAATAATTTTTTATTAATTCGGATTAGTTTTATTAACTGTTTCTAACAGTTGTGACTCTTCTGATAAGGTTTCAGAAGTTTATTTAAATCAAACGAAGCCTCATTCGTTTGACATAGAAAAAGTATTCTACAAGCATTTTCACATTGTCTGAGAGGAAAACAATCAAAGTTCGCCAGATTCTAAGTCCGAGTGCTAGGGCTTAGAATACAAATAGTTGAATCCTGGAAGGCAGTCACCTGTAGAAATAAGATCATAATACACTTACTGCATACAAAAGATCCAACTAATTTATCTATAGTAATTGTAGGTATTCTTAGGTTAATTTACCTACACTTGTAAAGATTGTTTATCTATAATTTGCAGCTATACTAAGTACAAAATTCACCTACTAATTTACTTATATTTTGTAGGTATACTAGTTCAAAAATATCATACTAATTTACCTATATGTTATTATTATTATTATTTTTTAAAAGGTATGCTAATTTAATTAGATTGTATCGGTAAAGTATTTAAAAAGTAGTTACATTATTTTTTAGGGAGATTTAGTAATATACCCAAAATAGGACTTGAAATTATTTTTAAAAAAACCTATATGGAACAAACTTTAGAAACATACCCAAAAACCATTTACTACCTAAAAAATGAGTGTTGAAGTTCCTATAAATTATATCTTTGTCATTTATTAACTTAAAACAAGTCCAATACAAGACTCAAAAAAAAACCCAAAATATAGTAAGCCCAGCCCAGATTTGACCACACAAAAAAAAACCCAACAAACCTGAAGTACATTGTTAATACCATATCATAGAAGTACATTGTTAATTCCATGTCATAGAAATACATTGTTAATATCATGTCATGAAGTACAATGTTAATATCATTTCATAGAAAAGTGTTGTTAATACCATTTCATACAAAAAAAAACCCAGCAAGACATTCGATATCCTTTGCAAATACCACCTCCAATTATCCACAGTTTCACCAGAAACAATAGCAATGACAAAACAAAATATCTCTACAAGAAGAAAAAAAAAGTACACTGTTAATACTATATCATAGAACTATCTTCCTAAAAAATCACATTTTGCATATCATAAACTTCAAGTGCACAGTCATATATAGAGCAAAATATAGAGCATGCTTTGTTACTGAAAATCTATTAATACTATGTCATAGAAGTACAATGTTCATACTATGTTATTGAAATCAACTCAGTTACAGGGTATGAACAGTATAACAACTGTTCATACCACTTACTGAAAGCTAACAACTACATTTCATTTGCATAATAGGTACAATAAAAGTGTACAACTGCAAAAACCCCATGTTTGTAAACCAGCAACCTTGAAAAACATAATGGACAACACAACCCTTTGGAACAAACCTAGGAACCCAGAACAAACCTAGAAACCCAGCGCAAAAACCTCATGTTCGTAAACTAGCAACCTTGAAATACAACTGAAATTGAAAGAACAAGTGCTGCAGGAAGACCTCTGAGAATGAATGCGATATAAATTCAAAAAGAAACTGTCGATTTCTTCAAGAAACAATCCTCTCGAAGAAATCAACAAGGAATCTGATCTAACCAGTGATATAACCTACAGACTAGATGCATATATCAGATAACCAAAGCAGATTTTAAAAAATCTCATTTTTTTGGAAAATATGCAGACCTTAGAATGAAAGGAAGAACGATGAAGCACACAATATTACACACTGAGTCTATGACGGCTACTAGAGCCCAAAATATATTTTATCCCCACAAACTAGGTGAGAAAAGGAAATTAGATGTCGACTAATGATTGGCGTAATAATAAGACAAACAAAATTGTTATGATAGAAATACCACAACTGGCTAATCATGAAACACATGAGAATTTCACTTGAGGTTTTAAAATGAACTGGCAGTAAATGGATGACTATCAACTAAGCTAAAATATGCAATGCATGATTTTTATTTTTTTCTCTTTATTTGCACTAAGTCACACTTTGTCTTAGTCATAGTAGACCTCTTCAATCCTAATCTTTTCTGGACTAATTAAGCTTGAGCATGGTGATTTTACAATAGCAAATATAATGTTGTCTAAGGAAGCCAAAAATTAAACAAGTAGCAAAAGCTAACCTAACACAATGAAAGCCCCAAAAGGAATTCAAGAACCCATGAACTTTTCTTCCAAAAGGAAAAACCTAATTTATGCACACACACTCTCTCTCTCTCTCTCTCTCTCTCTCTCTCTCTCTCTCTCACACACACACACACACACAAAATCCATGTGAAAAATGTAAAATGAGAGAATTGGTGAGTCCAGACCAGCCCCAACATTTTTGGTAGGTCAAAAGGACACTTGGGAGCCAATTATTGGACTTATGATAAGCAAAATCATGTGCCTTGATTAAAAATATTGTGCTAGAAATATTTGGCCTATATAGTCATCTAGACAAAGTATTGTGATGTAGATGCTAATTTTCGTAAGGATGCCCATTATAAATGAATGCACAAATTATCTTTGTTTTGTAGCCTCAAAAGCTCTTCAATGTACTTCAACTTTCTAGCAAATACCCAATTCCTAATTTCTAAAGATGAGCTAAGAGGAATTACATACATGACAACTAAAGATGAATAGACATGCATATTTGACTAGTAATACATAAGAACACTATAATGCATGCAATATGCAATGTATGATTTTTACCTTGAAGGATCTTGATTCCATTTTAGCTATGACAAGGTTGATCTAAACTTCTGTAATCATCTTGAAATCCAAACTTAAACTACCCAAAATTTCTTGAGCTTAATTGATTACATACAAGATTACAAATTTTTCAAGAAAAGCTAAAAACATTAGCTAAACAGAAGCTAACAGTGTTGAATCCTTCGTATTAAGAGATACTCGATCCTTATTCAAAAGGGGAGACCTTCATACTAGGGAAAAACCAGCCAAACATTTGGCAAAAAATAAAACAATCAAGTAGACTTCCCATACTATTCATCAAGATGATGAAGAATCACCAAGTAGATACACGTATTATTTCATCCACTGTCAAAATTGAATATTACTTAGGATAGTATCAAGTTTACTTAATGATCAACCTTGATCAAACTTCATTTCGAAACCCATCGATGCAAAGGTCCCATATAAATTCATTAAACATTAAATTAATTTGTACAATCTTTCAACATATATAAAATAAAATAAAATAATTCTGAAATGGAAAGAACATTTGAAGAAAATAAAGTTTATATTGCTTAATGTAACTAAAATGACAAGGTGATTGGCGTGCAAACTTCACTCGATGATTATCTAATGGTGAATATATCCAAAACAAAGACATAGACCACCATGTTCTTCCAAGTACATAAAAATCTCGTCATTACCTCATTCTCCGCTAAAAAAAATCTCCTATTCTCCGAGCTTAATTAGTATTGCAAGTAATAGACAAAGAAAAATGAAAGGAAGGCACCAGCCAAAGAGCCAACAAGGGACAATGTAGTGGGGGTAGTACTGCTTGATGCTTGCGGGGCTGAAGCGGAATCCTTGGCCGCGGCAGGAGCTTCAGCTGAGACTGAAGCTGTGCCCTCTGGGGCAGAAGCTGCTCCCTTTGGGGCATGCATGCCACCGCTTGAGTGCTTTGGGGCTTGGGCGCCGCCTGAGTGCTTCGGGGCATGTGCCCCGCCTGAGTGCTTCGGGGGATGAGCTTCCTTATTATCAGCCAAGACCACACTCATCAAGGCAGCAAATAGAAGGATGGCAAGGGAGATCTTGATCTTCATGTCCATGGTTGGGGTTTGATGAATGTGAGCCTTGAGTTGATTGGCTTAGAGATGAAAATAATGAGAACACTTTGTTAGTTTTGCTTTGGTTCAAGCAACTGATTAAGGCTGATTAATACTGAGCAAATCAATTATGAACAATTTTATAGGGAGAATTTTGGTTATTATTAGAATATGAAACACTTGTGGTCATGTAAGTGTTGTAGTTGACGAATAGCTAGCTACGTACTTGCGTGTTTGGCTCTGCATGACATTAGGAATTTGAATGGTGTTTTTAACTTTTTGATTCTCAATCTTCTCTTGATTAGATCTCAATAGCCTAGTGTTTTCAAGGGGAAAAACACAAAAACATCATTGTAAGAGAGAATACAAATATTCTTATTCATGTCTGTATTTCTTCAATTTTGTTAGGTTTTACTTTTCTTTTTTCCAAGTTTTAAGATTAATAAAATTAAAATTCTTTTAGGCAAATAGTTTTTTCGGGACAAAATTTTAAGGTTTGCTTTGGGATACTGTGAATTTTTAGGATGGGTGTGTCCATAGACGTGGCAACTTGTCGTGTTTCAATATATAACGCGCATTAGTTTAGTGTAGTATGAAATTATTTCAAGCATATTTTCAACTACTCGTTATCTTATCATGTCCAAATATACCAAAATCTCATAACAATAACAAAACAAAAAGCATTTTATAATACAAAATCATCCCAGGTACAAATTCTTAGTTTTAAGGTTTTCAAAAGAGTAGGGTGCATTTTATAAACACAAAATCCTGGTTTTAATTTGAACAAAAACTGCCCACAAACAAGTCTAGGCCTAGCAATGCAAGCCCAAGACTTTCCCCTTAAGCGGCTGCTCATCCACTTGAGCCCATGTATCTTTCACTTTTTAATTACGTAACATTTGCAAAGTGAAAAATCACTAATCGTACTATCCCAAATCTCAAATCATGCTTTAGTTAATTTCAAGTTCTCTATTTTGGTTGAAATTATTTTTAGGTTCATCATCTCTCTGCACAAGTTTGCTCTTTTACAAGGACAGCTTAACCTTTTTTAGATGCACACCACGAATCACCACAGCTCTTTATGATAGCATCACTTTACCAACAGATGGCAAAACATTGCATAATATATGCTATATGTTAACTTTTATTTTTATTTTTATACTACAATCAATATCGAGAGAGGGGTGTTTAAACACAGGACCTCGAGTACAATGGGTAATTACTTTTAATCACTTGAGCTACAGTCCTTATTGCTACACGTTAACTAATTCTAATAATTGCAAGTGTATAAAATGATTGTTTGAAAAAAAAGTACAAAATGATTTAAGACTGACCCAACTAAACACTAAACTTGTATTAATACATGGTACCATTTTCGTTGAAATTTATTGGGGATTTGATTTGATAATATATCAAATAAATTTGTGTGTGTGCACTCACAAGTCTGTACTAAAATTAATTCAGGCACGGCAAAAAGGATTGATTGCATGAAGGTGATTGCATACCAACTTTCTTATCATTCATCAAGAAATGTCTGTAGTTCCCATGTCCATGTAGTGGTGAAGCCAGCCAGCCATTGCTTTTATTGGTCCCATTAGCCGTGTCGAAAAAGGCAGGCAAAGAAATTGGTCACATACAAACCAGTCTCCTATAAATTCATGCACCACATTGCTCTCAACAAAAACACGAACTCAATAAATCAATTCCTCATTCCCTTTCTTTACCTTTGTCTCTAAATCTTTCAGTTTCTGTGCCAATTTTTTTACAGAGAAATGGCACGGTTTGGCACATCTTCAGCTAGACTTCTTATGGTCATGGTTGCTGCATTACTTTATGTGACCAAAACTATGGCACAGAATACCGCCACTCCACCTACGCCGTTACCGGTGACTGGAGCCGGGTTTGCATCTCCGGTTTCCGTGGCGTTGATCTGTTCTTCTATGTTGGTCTCTCTTACAGCTGCTTTTGCTTTTTGCTAGAATGGATGGATGGATGTGGGGTTTTGAGTTTTGGATATACAGCGGAGCCGTTGTGATACATGGACATTGTTGGATTTGACACATTTTCCTTATTATGTGTGTTTTGGAATGTTTTATTTTGTGTAATATATATGATAATGATAAGGTGATTGGTATGCTTTAATATCCGGAGAAAAGATATACTGTTTTTGAATTTTGAGGCATATGAACACCATCGTGATATCCTACTTTCTCTGTATTTGATGGTCAATTGGTATTGACCACCACATAATTTGAATAATATTGTAAAGTTCTACAAGTTATCTATGGCTTGATTACACATGACACATTTATAAATTATGTTGTTTGGTTATTAGTATAAAATAAATTAATGATTGTTTTTGCGTTTAAACGAACATCTCTGGATCTTATGACATGTCGGGCAAGAGAACAAGAAATTTACCTTACTTACATCCAAAGGTTAAAAGAAACTTGAAGAAGAAAGTGCTAGTCGCTAATAAGGACATACACTTTGTTATTTATTGGAAAATGTGCACCATATTTCTTTTGAAAGAATAGGTCCTTGGCCAGTGTAGATTGATCGTTATAAACATTGAGCGATCATTACTGTGTTGGAAATTATGAAGTATGAAGGCAGTAACTAAGATAAAATGAAAATTTTGAGCCAAAGCACGAATTGAATTTGCTTTTTTTAAGGCTAATTTGTCGCTCTTCCTTTGTGCAAAAAGAGTTTAAAACAAATTTTCTCGACTCAAACTCACTTCATATTATTCTTGAGATTTGCACAATACAAAAATAATTTGAATTAAAACACGGACAAATTTAGGATTTCAAAACTCTATGGGCTAAATTTACCTTAAGTACATAGGAAATTTCAAAGTAGGGGCCATATCGCACCAAGTTGGACTTTATAACACATGTGAGAGAAAAAAGAGAAACCCAAAAGAAAAAAAAGGAGAAACAAAGGAAGAAAAAACAAGAGAAAAGCAACAACAACAAAAAAAAAGGAAGAGGAAACTGTGGGAAAAAGCTCAATTTGTAGTATATCCAAACCATAAAAAAATGGAGAAACGAAGGGAAAAAAAAAAGGAAGAAGAAGAGAGAGGAGGAAAAGAAGAAAAAGAGAGAGAGAGAGAGAGGAAGAAAATAAGAAAGAGAGAGAACATGGGTATTGAAAAAAAGAAAAAGAAAAAAAAAGCATGGGCTAGAAAGAGAGACTACATGGGTATTGACAACTAAAAAAAAGGGCATGGGCTATAGCCCATACAACTAAAAAAAATAGGTTTGAGATTTTGAATCTTAAACCTATAAACCCTAAAATATACTAAACCATTCCTAAACACACTCAAATAAGCACAAATGGATCCCAGAAAACATTTAAGCACAAATAGAAAGTAGGGAAAACATTATGCACAACATTATACTGCGTTTGAACGAAGAAATCTAAGACTACTTCGTGAAAATAGTAGGAGTTAATGTTGCAAAATTTGTGAAGTTTCTTGTTTGACTAACCTTAAAATAAAGTAGGATTAAACATCTAACTTATTTTTTTTCTTTGGATTTTTCACAGCTATGGTCCCTCAACTATACCCGTAATCGCATTTGGGTCACTGAACTCAATTATTAGTTGCAGAGGTCACTCAACTATGTGTTTCATTGCACCAGTAGTCCTTCTGTCAAGTCCGTTAGTTTTTTCCGTTTAAAATGATGATGTGGCAAGATCGATCCAATTATTGATGGGCATATGTGACTTTTCAGTTAGGATTATTTGTAGAAATGATCCCTCAACTATACTCAGAGTTATAATTTGGTCACTTAACTCCAAAAAATAGTTATAGAGGTCACTCAATTAGGTGTTGTGTTGCACCATTAGTCCCTTCCGTTAGAGAGACTTGACGGTAGGGACTAACGGTGTAACGAAACACACAGTTGAGTGACCTCTGCAACTAATAATTGAGTTCAGTGACCCAAATGCAATTACGGGTATAGTTGAGAGACCATAGTTGCGAAAAACCCTTTATTTTTTAAAGACATTTATCTATAAATGTGCGGCGGTGGTTGGTAAATGTGTTAATGGTGGTAGTGTGGCGGTGCCATCAATCTAGGCCACTATTTGATTCATACATTTCGTTTAGGTTTCGTAAGTCTAATTCATAATTTTGAGATTAAGCAATATTGTGCATGAAAAATTGTGAAAATATGATGAAAGGTAACTGTTTTTCTTACCGACCAACTTTTACATTTCGTTTCAAAACAGTATACGGCGGCCGTCGACCGACCAACTTTTACAGGCCATTAACAGCAACCAAACTAATTATATAAAGCTGTTGCAGTGGGACACTACAGAAGACCTGCGCTGTTGATAGCCGTTGCCATCCATTTGAACGTTGGCGCTGTGGGCTCCTCACGCCCCTCGATCCCCCCATATAAACCCCAACTCTAACAACTCAAAACCCCAAAACACAAAGAAAAACAAAAACTCACATCCAACTCAAAGCTTCTCCACCAAAAACTTCATAACTTTCTTAATGGCACAAATTAGCATGTCCAGGGCCTTCTTCTTCGTCCAAATGCTGGTCTTGGTCGTCTTGGCTGCAACGGTTTCGGCTCAGGAGAGTGCTCCGGCACCAGCACCGGCACCAATGGATGCCGGGGCTGCTTACTCTTTGCCTGTAAACGGCGCAGCTGTTGGAGCGTCGCTTATGGTCTCAGTTTTTGCCTTGTTGAAGCACTACTTGAATTAATTTGTTCAGAGTGAGATACGGCAAAGCTTGGATTCATTGGAAATTTGTTATGTATTGGTTTTGGGGGATAGTGTGTATGCGGATTTGTTAAGGGGTTGATTTTGTTGGATATTTGATTCTTTACATTGTAATAAAAAGTGATCTTTTTTTTCCCGAAACTAATTTTTGTATTGCAATGTTGTTGCACAAACGATACCGAAATGTTACCGGAACTATTAACTGTTCTTGATATAATAGAAAAAGTCATAAAAATTAACAATTTGCACCTAAGGCGAATTTAAAAAAACTACTTAAATTTATAATAATAAATTATTATTATTTTTTTAAAAAGACAAGTTGTTTTCTTTTTTTCAATTTGTTCATTTGTTCATATCTACAAATTTGTGTTCCTATCATCTGTAATGTGTGGTTCCATACGCACACCGTGTTATAAAGACAAGCTAAGATTAATAGACGACTTAAAATTGAGTACATTTGATAGCTTGCAACACTATTTATTTTAGAGTGCAATCCGAAATTCAGTATATGCTCCAGGGGCATTGTAAATATATAAGAGTTGTCATTACAAAAAAAGAAAAGAAAAGAAAGAAAAAGGCAAAGGCCACCTTTTTAAAAGTAACCAAATTGGTATTGGTGACAAGTTAATGGCTGGTTAATGATTTTGTCTACTCCTCACTATTATTTGTGACTAATTCTCTCACATTTTAATAATTTGGTGACATTTGATTTAAATATAATAAATATAAAACTAATTATTGTGGCTAACACCTAAACAATAATTTTTTATGGTTAATATTTCATTATTGTTTTCCTACACACAACAAAGACCATAGAAAGATAGATGTACAAATCTACAAAAATCCAACCCAAAAGGTCGTTAGGCTGGCACAAAATACGAGGAAAACACAAGAAAAACAAAAAAGTAAATTTAGGTTTTAACCACAAAAAAACTTTCATTTTTGGAAAAAACCAAAAAAAATTCAAAAAAGACAGAAAAATCTTTCAATTTTCAAACCAAAGACATGCAAATGTAAAGGATTTCTTAGGAAATCCAAAAATAAATGAGGGCAATTTTGTCCATTTTGACTTCTTTTAAAAATTTCTCTCTCCTTTAGCCTTTTCCAAAGTCTCCCAAATTTTAGCACAAAATCAGCTAGAAAGAAAAGCGCTTCACAAATACGAGGAGAGATTTGTGAGGAGAGATAATTCCATTTATTCGTGTGATGGGACATGACATTTACAAAATATAAGATATAAATGAATCATATATAAAAACTTATGCAACATTCTTTTTTTTTACCAGCTGTTAATCAAAGCATTCAAAATATTTGCATAATTAGGAATCAGTTACCACAGTATTGAAAATATTCCATATCTCTATAATTCTTAATTGATATTTTTAAGAAAGAAAAAAAAAGGAAAAAAATTAGCGTGTGAAAATCATACACGGCGCCGACTAACGACGAACTTTCACACGCCACACCGGTCGGTCACCAGCAGCGTTGTCGAAGTGGGTGAACACACACACACACACACACACTAGCTGTTAATAGACGTTGCCAGCATCCATTTGAACGTTCTCACATTGTGGGGTCCACACGCCGCTCCATCCTCCCAGTATATAAAGAAACACTCCGCTCCTCCATTTTTCTCACAACGCATAAACACTCTCAAAGCCTCCTTTCATTACTTCAGAAAAAATCATTTACCGAGTTCAAGTCACCAATGGCGCAAGTTAGCATCTCCGGAGCCTTCTTCTTCGTCCAGATGCTGGTCTTGGCTGCGATGGTCTCGGCTCAGGAGAGCGCCCCGGCGCCTTCCCCGATGGATGCCGGAGCGGCTTACTCTTCGCCTGCAAACAGCGTCGTTGTCGGAGCATCGCTTCTGGTCTCATTTTGCGCCTTGTTCAAACGCTACCTGAATTAATTTGTTGTTGTGATCTTAGTGAGATGCCAGGCTTGGGTATTATATATTGGTTTGGCTGAAAGATTTCAGATTCATGGAAATTTGTTATTTGATTCTTAGTACAGTTGGTGTATGTAGTTGGGTTTTCTTTGAGGCATTGATTTTGTTGGATCTTTTGATTCATTAATTAGTTTTGCCGGATTCAATAAAAAGACACTGATTATTTCTTCTTTCCCGAAACTACTTGAAACTTATTTTTGTTTGTGGGTTCAGTCTGCAAAAAAAAAAAAAAAAAAAAAAAAAAAAAAAAAAAAAAAAAAAAAAATGCAATTGCGTGCATGCATCTTAAGATGCATATATTACAGCCATTTACACTTGTTTATTGCAGGTGATTCCGGCGATAAAAAAATGTACATTTTACATACACCTACTTATACAACTCCATTGAAGATGCTTTAACTATTAATACAATTATGTAGTTGGAATAGATAAGAGGGAAAAAAAAACTATTAATTGTATCTAAGAAAACTATTAACTTTTTTGTTAGGATATAAAAAGTTCAACAAATTGAAAATGCATGTGTAGTCCATTAAAATATTGGGGGCTACTGGTTGGTCACTATAAGCTCATCACAACTTCTAGTTACTCATCAACTTCAATATTGGTCACAAACATGCAAATATATAATTAGTGACCTTCTCTCTTGGTCACCGACGAAAGTGCTAAGAGAGGCACCGACACAAGTCGGCCAATGAAACAACATAAAATTGAAGAATGTTTAACGTCAGCATGTGTGTGGTGAAGCCAAACCAAAATCAAATCAACCCCAGAAGACCCTAATTCACCCTAATTCACTTTAAGCAAATAATCATAATAAATCAAACCAAATTGATTTGTGGCTACCCACTGTCCACCTTAAGAAAGAAACAAATCATGAACTACCAATTTGTAAGGAGAATAATCAACCAAATAATTGGCCTATCACATGAGGTTTGGTGTGGTCCTCCATGCCAGCCGACCTATAAAAAGCCAACCAAGGGAGTTTCACTAATACACCCAAAATAGAGGCTGAAATTATAATAAAACTCAACATGAAAAACATTTTAGAAACACACCCAAAACCCATTTATTAAACACACTCAAAACCCATTTATAAACACACCCAAAAAATATACAATTGTTGATTTTTGGGTGATTTTGGGTGTGTTTCTATGTTTTAAACAATGTTGGGTTTTTTTATAAATTCATGTCTAGGATTGGGTTTATTTATAAATTTGTATTTTCTTTTTGGCCAGCTACAACACCAATATTTGTGTTTTGTGTTCGTTTTTTAAATTTTATTTTTGTGTGTTTTTGGATGGTTCAACTTAAACCTGCCTACATCCAATCCGACTATGATTCGCAATGTTGAGTTTAAGTGTTTTACTTCCCTTTTATTGAAAGAGATTGAACTCTTAACCTATCCTCATTCTAACTCGGTCCTATGTTTTTCCCTCACCATTTGTGTTAACACCAAACGCTTCTTGTTGAGTTTAAGTTGAAGAAGACCTCAAACCTGATCAAATTGGAATTCAGATTAGAGGACCACAAACCCTACATCCAACAGTTTCAATAGCCACCGTTTTGATTCTGGTTTTCAGATTTCAACTTCGGAAAAGTGGTCACCAACTTGACAAAGCCTAAAAATAAATTGGTAGGAAATTGATCGATCTGGTATAACCCAACAGTTTCAATTGATTTTTCTTTAAGCTAATTTGATTTTTCAATTGATCAGGAATACACTATTACCTGCTTCTTACTTGCACAAGATGTACAAACACAAAAGTATAAGCAGGCCCGTGCTATTTCATGTTCTTTTTCACATGTGTATATCTTCTATTTCTACGCTATACAAATTTAAAGTAGCATGATCCTGTCTTCAAGAAGCAGTGCCTTTGGACTCCTGGATGTCCAATTCATGTTCAGCTACCAACACACAGGAATCTGCTTCTAAAGATGAGACTGAGCTCTTCTCCTTCAACGTCGATTCCTTGGAAGAATTGAGCATTTCTGTTGTGCATTGCACATCAGGTGCAATGCCAACCTGGTCTATGTCATGAAGCGCCGGCGATAAATACTTGGCCACTGTGACAAATAACGCTGATCCATCATGCAGCTCTGTGACACTCTGTAGCAAGGAGCATTAGGGAAACAAGCTCTTTGACCATGATAGACTCTTTGACCATGATAAAGAGTAGAATAGACACCATGACAGACTCTTTGACCATGATAAATTTGGAATTAAGTGTAGCAGTGGTAATCAAAGGTGAGATTACAAATTACATGTAATTTAAATTCAGTGAAAGGAGAAAACAAGAAGAGGTATGGTGCTTGCAGAGAAGGACATCACAGCAATCCATGAAGTTCGTAATTTGGAAATGGAGCTTAGGCATTTTGTAACAGTCAAGTAGAGTTGAACAAATTTTCTGGTTGATGCAATTAGCTACACAATTTTTCATACCTGAATTTTTCCTTTCCCAAAGGTTCTGTGCCCGACAAGAGTAGCTCGGCGATTGTCATGTAGTGCCCCTGCCAATATCTCACTTGCACTTGCGCTACCCTCATTAACCTGTTTGAAATAGTAGAAGATTTAGAATCCATTGTGATTATGAAGATGTAAGAAGAAGCAACTATTTGCGTGACAAATTTAGACAATCTGCACACATATCAATTTGCATGAGAGAATATAACTGAATCAAAGTTGGACATCATGCATTGCCACTTGTATTGGAATTTCTAAATAAAATTTTTATTTCTAGGATCTAGCAAAATTGACAAGAATGTGTTTGGCATGATTTTAGACAGCACTGCACCAGTTTTTAAGAAAATAAATGTATATGCAACTTTTACAAAACTGCATACTTTTCGGATGAAAAGCACGTAACTTCACATATAAAGTTCAAAACTTACAAGCACAACAAGTGGATCATGTGTTATAGCATGCCCATTGACCATGTTGATGGGCAGCAAATTCCCTTCCCGATCAATTGTGTTCACTAGAGTTTCATCCCCATCTAGCCAAATTTGGGCAACATCAAGTCCTGCTTTTACCAGTCCCCCCTGAAGAATTTAATTGGAAGAAGAAGATAAACATGCTGAATAATCATAAATCCAAAGCAGGAAAATGAACTATCAGAAGATTTCATTTATGTAAATGAGAATGAAAAAGTTACCGGATTGTTGCGTAAATCCAGTATGTATGAGTGTACACCCTGACTCTTCATTTCATTAATAGCATTTTCCATATCAGCTGCAGCTGTCTGTCAGAAGGGGTGGAAGACTTTTCAGAATATACAAAGTTCTTTCAACCAATTATATTGTTATAAATTAGGAAATCTTATTTTCTGCATTGCCAAGAGAAAAAGTGAAGTACCTGAGAGAAGGCTGACAGCTTCACATAACCCGTTTTGGTAAGACGTCCATCTGAAGTTCTGTGAGTGATGGTAGCAGTTGAAATTGGGGAAAGCTTAATGTACTCACGAGGTAGTTTCACCTTCAAGCAGACGAGTCATTTTTCAGATCAATTCACTAAAATCATTGTGAAATTAAATGCATTCTGATTGATGCTGTTAATTTAAAAACTTTGAAGATGCATGAGGGATCACAAAGAAACCAAGTGCATTTGAAAATGAATGAAACTATAAGAAAGCCAAAATAATAGATGGCCTAGTACCTCTTGTATACTAGAATCACTTCCCAAATCATTGCTCTGCATAACAGAAAACATGAAATTAGTTAGCTGAAGCCATTTGCAACTGCTGGCCACACTCTACACGATCACAACAGATCACAATCACTAATTTCTGCTGAAACATGAAAAAAAAAGAAAAAAAAAGGAGAGTTGATGATTACACTCTGGATTTTTACTGTAACAGTTGTTCCAACTCGACCTCTAAGTTTCTGAACTGCTACTTCAGTGTCAACACCATCAAGATTCTCTCCTGAACTCATACAGAGTATTGAAATAATGACAAGCGAGTTTAAATGTAAACAGAAGACATTGAAAAAGTTGGAATTTTGGAATACATTTCTTGATTAAGGAGCATCCTGCATAGAAAAATTAGTTTCATTTTTTTCTTTAATTTTTTTAAAAAAAAGGATATTTGAAAAAGCAGAACAACTCAGCAGTGAGTTCCATAAATCTGTGTTCATTGTTTATAGTCATACTACTGGGAATCCAAGAGTATTAGTACTTGACACTGGATCTTGATAATCTCGTTAGAGCATTTTCATTGTTCCTGATAAGGAGAAGGCTGCAGGCCCAATTTATAATTTGAGAAATGGAATGTAGAAAATCTCAAGTATCTGTAGTCTGATGGCAGCATTAGGTTTATAAATGAAGAATGTGATTTCGCTTGAGCTAGATTAATCCACAACAGATTGAAATAATTTTGATGGTTTGAATCAAAACATTGTCAACCATGTCCCACTATTAGGATTCAACCACCAAAAAGATTTTACGCAGGATTTTTCCATTTTCAGCTTCATAGAAATAAATGCTAAATGTTTGAATCTTGATTTACCATTAATTTCAACCAACTCATCTCCTTCATGTATACCAGCACGAGCAGCCGGGCTACCCTCTACACAAGACAAAACTACCTGCAATGCCCAATAAAAATAAACTTTACATGCGGTAAATTAGCATATTAATGCATCTCTTTCTCCTACATCAGAACACAGCTCACAAAATCTAAATTAGCATATCAAGAGCTCCTCCATCAGCACAACTTTTTAAAAAAATAATACCAGAAAATTTTATAATAAAACAGATTGGTTGCTTGATATACAGTGGAAAGTTGACGTTTTTATTCTCATATAAAATCACTGGGTCAGTCATAAAGGCACAGTTCCTCATTTCACATTCTAAAATGCTGGAAATAACATAAGCCAAACTTGGATATATGCACTTAAGGCGATAAGATTTATAATTGGCAACTAGATGAACAGCTAAATTACTAAAAACACAATATAAAGAATCAACGGCCAAGTAGCTTAGAAAGAATACAAGAGACAAATTGCAATAAACATTTGTAGGTATTGTAGAACCACCATATATTGGTTTATTAACATATTTCAAGCACAAGGTCAAATGACTTGTACATATCCTAGGAACAACATATATTAATTTTCTGTATGCTTATTTACAAAAAATAGGAAATATCAAAAGATTATTTGTCATCACTAACCAAATGGCCTGTTCTTGGTTCAGTACTTATGAAAAGGCCAACTCCTTGTAGATTTCCATTGCTTCCAATTCGAAAACTTTGATATTCCTGTGAGTGAAAAACATAATTAGCTTGATAGCTATAATTATTTTTTATGTAAGTTTGACATATCACAGTTAAACATAGTCATGATAGCCATAAGTGGACATATCACAGTTCAACTCAATTTGTTAATCAAATATGTATTGCAATTGTCAGCTTAAATTAACATGGAATTGACATAGCAGAGACTGGAATGAAATGAAAACCTTGGGACTGATAATCCGCGTGAAGGGATCACCTAGAGTAGCAAGCATTCCACTGATTTTCGTATATGCTGCATCAGCTGACCTCAGGGGAAACATTTCTACCATTGTTTGCTGCAACTTTAGATCCCAATCTGCAGAAAAAGAATTCTCATCTTCAACACTAAAAACACAGTTATCCAAATGTTATAGCAGTTTCATTTCAGGAAAAGAACCACACAATTAGATGTTGGACATTAGAATGGAGTATAAATGATCTTCAAATGCAACCGTTGGTGTGCATTCCTTGGTCAGTTAACAACGATAAAAGAAGGATAAAGTAACCAAATACCTTGATGATTAAAAGTTGGGTCTACGAATGTTTCCCTAATCAAACCCCAAGTCTCCACAAGAGTTCTCTGAACAGAATTCACCTGGAAAAAAAAAAATTTATCTACTTAGTAACTGTCATCAATTTGTGATCCAAGTACAGCCAACTGAGTATTAACTGTATTGTGATCTATTGGCAAAAGTAGTAACACACAGAAAAAAAAACATTGGTAAAAGAAATCTAACGAAATTAGCAAAACTCATTACAGTCACTCAATCAAACACAAATTATATATCAAAACAACACACACATACACACAAAACAAAACAAAACAAAAGAAGAAGAAGAAAGAAACAACAGCAATAGAATAGAATAGAGGGTGGCAATTTTGTTACCTCAAGAACCCAAACATAAGATAATTGGCACATACTAATACGAATAATAAACAGGTCAAGTTAATGTCAAACACGAAAACGTGTTTAATTCATACTCTACAAAATTATCTGTTTTTCTTTTCTATTTCTTAAAAGTGTGTGAAATCTTCTAGAGTGTATTTTTACTTAAAATATTGTACAATTCATGAATTGATAGTTATCTGACATAGTTAATTAAAGTCATAAGTTGATTAGTATTGGATGGACACAAATGACACAACCCAACAACACTCAATCAAACAGGAAACAAAATCTATCACCTCAGTGGTGCGTGAAACCGGAAAAGCAACAGTAAGCGACTCTGCCATAGCCGGAGAATCACAAAAGATGGAATAATTTGCAGCAGCGGCAGCTGCCAATGCAAGCAAGCCTTTTCCAACTGACCTCATCAACTCCTGACCACAAACCTGAGCTTCATCAGCCTTTGCATTACTAGCAGCCTTGAACCAACTGGGCACAATTGGCACCCTCCATTTCTTGGTCACACGCCGATCCGAGCATGAAAACCGATGTGAATGCACTGACAGAGAATTGGGTTTTGAGAATCTTGGTGAAATTGGTGAGAAAGGTGCGGGCTTGAGATCCAAGTTTGGGCAAAGAGGCTCCATTTCTTCTTCTTCTTCTTTTTTTGTTCTTTTATTTTTTATGGACAAAATGAAGAAGAGGGAAATGAGGAAGAAGCTGAATATTGTTGACCGTTATACGTTGTTGGGATTCTGATGGGGTCCATAGGAAACTTTTCTTCTGTGGCTCCTGAGATCCATCACCACAGAGCCTCTGGATTTGCTACACGTGTTCATGGTAAGGGGCTGGAGTTCCTGGAAATATTATTTTTGCGGTGAAAAATCATGAGTTCCTGGAATTTTCTCTTTGGCCGTTTCCTCTCTTTCAATACTTGGAAAATGAAAAAGGTTGGCTTTGATTACTTTGGTTAAACCAAACAGAAACTTTTGTTTTGCCATGTTGTCGGCGGGTGGATTAATGGGCTGGCTAGGTCCATATGGGCTCTATAATTCTAATGGGTTATTAGGTTTGGCCTGCATGTGTTTTGGTATTGGATTAAGACTCGTTCTATAATGAGGCCTAATATATGGCCTTTAGGTGAAACCCTATCTCTTCATCTTGAATCAAATTGGTTAGTTATTAGATTAAATTGATTAACTTGATCCAACGGTTAAGAGATAGAGTCTCACCTAATAGCCACATATAAGGCTCTTACTATAGAATTCTTGTTGGATTATAAGAGTAAGTGTTCATTGGGTAGGAATGTGCTTGTGGTGAAGAAGAGTGTGGCCCAACCGGAGGAGATTGGTAGATTGAAAAACTAGGTTGAGGAGGATGGTTGTGCAAGAAATCTATAGTGAGGGTCTTATATATGGTCCTTAGAGCATCTCCAGCGCTAAGGCTTTGCCTTGGCAATAGGCCCCCCCAAGCCCAGTTTCATACTCCAGTGCAGGAAATTCAGCCCAGGCAAGCCCACAGGCAGAAATTGACTGGGTTGTTGTCCGCGGGCTGCTGACGTCAACAACTGATTTTCAATTATTTTTTTACTATTGGACCCACCAGCCCACATTGCCTAATGGTTATAAGCCACATGGCTTCTCCTGGAGCCTCCGATCAAAAAATCTTGCACAATCCAATAGTTGTCTAATTTTTGGCTAAAAAAATATATTAAAAAATTCTAGAAATTTTTTCTATACACACCTACCAATATTATTCACTTTCCACACCAAATTTAATTTCAAAATTTTATCCGAAAATGTTATCTTGATTTTTATGTGAGAATTTTACAATAAATATTAACACTTGGGAATCGAAAATTTTATCCGAAAAGCTTATCAAAATCAATGGTTTAAGTATAAAAAATAAAAAATAAATTTAAGTGAATAGTAATTGTCTTAGCCTTAGCCTTTTTGGGTGGAACCACAAATGGCAAGGCTGTCACTATTCACGTGAATAGTGGTAGCCCTTGCCTTAGCCTTAGCCATTTGGGGTGGAGATGCTCTTAGTTGAGGCCCTATTTTAATTGTTGAATCAAATTGGTTAGTCTTGGGATTAAATTGATTAGCCTGATTCAATGGTTAAAAGATAGGACCTCATTTAAGGGCCATATATAAGGTCATCACTATAGAACTACTCGATTGTGGTGAAGGATGGTGCCGATGGGATTTGATGGGGTTGATAGAATGTGGAAACAAAGAAGCAAGCTTTTCCCAACCCTCAAATTTTGGGTTCGGTCTGAGTTTAAGCTGGGTCATTTCAGCTTAGATTTTATTGTCTTAGCCCAAGCCTACTATCACTGGCTAGGCAGGGCTTTGTTGGGCCTGCCATGTGAAAATCTATTTTTTATTTATTTCAAAATATACTAATTGTATTATAGAAATTCTCGTATATGTGTATCGTAGACAAAATATAATGTGTCTTATATACTTTGTTGAGAGCAATGTATCTTATATACTAAATACTAGCTTCTCTGCACGTACTTCCGTGCCTGAGAGAGGTTTTTATTTATTTATTTAAAATTTATTTTAGAAATAAAAAAAGATAATGGGTAGTTGTGTTCCATAAAAATAGGATCTATTATGTTCCATAAAAATAGGATCTATTATCTGATTTTTCTTTTAATTTTAATTTTGTTTTCATATGAAAAAGTGTGAATTTATCATATTATCCTCATTTAATTAATAATTTCAATTCTTAATGATACATTAACCAAGGGCATTTTCTGGTATTTTGAATGTTTTACCATTCACTGACTTTTGCTTTTTATATACTAGTCTCTCCGCACGCGCTTCCACGCTTGCGAGAGGCTTTTTTTTAAAAAAAAAATTTAATTTATTTTAGACTTAAAAAAGATAATGGATAGTTGTGTTTCATAAAAATAATATCCATTATCTAATTTTTCTTTTATTTTTAATTTTTTTTAATATGAAAAAGTACCACATTATCCTCATTTAAGGAAGGAGAAGGGGTGAAATTCACATACATCGGTACCATAAGGTTTGAACTCAGGATCACTCGGGAGTACACCAAAGGCTTGAGCCAATCCAACTAACACCCTATTGGTGAATTTAAGAAGTGTTATTGAGTTCAGATATTTTTCCCATTTTCTGATGAATTCTAGGATGCCGATGAATTTCAATTTTTGTTCTTGGATCTCTGTCATCTCCCATATCACGCAACTACAATCAGAGCATCCGAAAGATCCAAAATAATGGATCTCTGTCATCTCCCAGATCACGCAACTACAATCAAAACATAGAGTAGAACTTTCCACTGGATAATAAATCTCGTTACATTGAAGGATTTAACATGTAAGGTCCTAATGCTAGCTCTTGTTTGTGGTTCACTTTCGTTCCAGCCAATTCAATTATAAGGTTAAATATACCACGTAAAGGGGTAGGCGAAGTCCCATTTTTGTCATCCTCTCTCTCTCTCTCTCTCATGAATGTGTTTTCCCCACAACCCATGTCTGTTCTATATGACAATCAGTATAACTGAATTTTAGAAGAGAATGATTTTGACCTGTAACATGATTTTGCATGGTAGAAATGCTCCCAGTGCCCAAACTGACGGCCCAAATAAGGCAACAGAATGCGCCAATTTCTGAACCCTTTATAGAGAATCTCATAAGTTCACAACCCATCTAAATTGAGTGGTCTAAGGCTCTTTTTACACATAAATTTTGAATATTATTTTTATGATAAATTACTTAGATGGTCCCTGTTTTACATGACATGTTGTTCACATCTCTTGCAAAACGAGATTTCGCGTAGCAAGGGACCTTATTATGTTTATGTTCAAAAATATTTTGATATGAATTGAAGGACAAACATATAAGGTTTAGTGCATAGTTTTTTAGAACGATAATTAAATAGAAATCTGTGTAACAGGACGATGCGCATAATGTCATCAAAAAATATAAATCCAGAGCCAAACTCATATAGATTATGGCTTGATTCTTCTACCTATAATCTCAGTCAAATGGATTAGAGAGATTGAATCCAAACATGTCATGCAGGAGATACAAAAATGAGAGAGAAACTAATTGAAGGTAAAGCTGTTTGTTTAGTCCTCTTTCCTACTAATGTAGAGAAAGGTGAGGTTTTGATTGGATTTCCCAAAGTTACATCAGGGAAAAGGGTATGGGAAAGAAGGAGATAAAAGGACATTTACCAAAAGCAAAAGAGAGAAAGGTGTTCAACCCACTGAAGGACGAAAAGGAAACCAAAACATGTAGGTGCTTTTATAATCATCTTAACTGCACCCTTTTGTAAAAGGCTCATTTTTGTTAAGCCATTGCATTATATATATATATATATATATATATATAAATATATAGATATAGATATATATATATATATATAGAGAGAGAGAGAGAGAGAGAGAGATGAGGGTATGACCTCAAAATTGGAGGACTTTCATTCCAACACCCCTTTTAACCCACCTTTTACTTTTTCCCTCTTCTATGTTTTATATAAGGTTGCCCTAAACATGTAAACCCAAAAGAGAGATTTTTTTTTCTTCTTTCTCTTTGATGGTCTCATGAGGGTGGCTTAATTAAGGCTTAAACATGTAGCAAATGAGATTAAAAAATCATTGTGTGAAATAAAATTGAGGAAAGTATTTGTTTGGAAGTGGAAGTGGTTGTTAAATACCTCTTAACCATATTAAAGATTTGAGTGAATGAATATTTGCAGATCATATAAAAGCTGCATATGTGTAAAAAAAAAAGTCCCAACAGAAGATTGACAAAGGAAGGAATTATAGGAAGTGGATTCAGAACTATCTATAATTGACTAGCATGGGCATGGTGCTGAAAATTTGTTGGAGGGTCATAAAGAGGCTGCCTGCAGAAGAAATTGTCGCTCGACATATAATGATGATATATATGAAGGTACATAATATATGATATATGATATATGTATAAATGTATATTAATGTTTTATATGCATTTGGATAGAGAAAGGATACATGCAATCTAAAAGTAATTTCTCACACTTTTCCTTAAGCCTTCACACAGAAGAACTACAATACATATACAAAATCCTTGCCCTTTTATCTAATATATATATATATATATATATATATATATATTAAATACAAGCGATAGTCAAGGTGCCATGAATTTGAACCTGAGACCACAGGTCTGCAAGTCAAGACCTTTTTTCATTGAGTTGGACCCCATTGGCTATATGTTTTTTTAATTAGTTATCAATACTATTATTTGACCTATTAATTTTTGCATTATTAATCCAACAAAAAATGTTTAAGTCTTGTTTCTTTTTTTTTCTTTCAAATTTGTTTGATGAAAATGGTATATTTCTTCCAAGTTTATATAGCTAGCATATGGTATCTCCTTGGAAGGGTGTTTGTGTGGGTTTTGCCTTCTAATAAATAAGTAATACATAGGTGCTTCCTTGATGTGGAGTTATTTGGCCTCATAGCTCTGTATCCTAATTATAATCGGATTTTGTGCAAGTAATATCCAAATGGATAAGTTTTTTTTTCTTTTTCTTTTTCCTTTGTGCTAAGATAGCCAAATTTACCATATATTGACCAGTAGACTTGAACCTTGTTTCTACATGACCCGATCAATTCGATTAGGCACTCGCCACCTAAAAGGCCAAAGGAGAGAGAAATATTTTTTAAAGAGTCAAAATGGACAAAAATGCCCTTATTTATTTTTGGATTTTCTAAGGAATCCTTTACATTTCCATATCTTTAGTTTGAAAATTGAGAGGTTTTTCTGTATTTTTCGAAAAAGTTTTGTTTTTTCCAAAAGTGAAATTTTTTTTGTAGCTAAAACCTAAATTTACTTCTTTTTTTTCAACTGATATGAGGGCCGGGACTAGCTTGAGAATTTGAATATATGAGTTTTTATATATCCACTCTCAGAACATGAGATAGTAGCCGTCTATGTGATTTGATAGGCAAGAACATCAAACATAACTTTTCCTTGTGTCCTTTAAGTACAGAGTAAAAAAATCCTAGACTTCTCTCTCTCCCAAAATATTTGTGTGTTATGTTGAAGTATGCTCTCTTTCTTCTCCATGAAGTTTTTCTCTATATTCCCAGTACAATGATATCATATACCTACAACATGGAGAATCTATAACATTAAAGCAAGAAAACTTTAGCACCAGAAAATGGATATTAAAAAAAGCAGGCATATGTCATGGATAATGATCATGAGAAAAAGAGAAGCTATAGCCTTAGGTATAGTCCAAAAGAAGATTTTTGTTTCATCGTGTTTTGTTTAATTTTGATAGTATTTTTGTTTCTTTTTAAAAGTCATTATGGGGTCAAGATTATTTTTGCCTTTTGCTCTTTTCCCTTTAGTCATTGGGGCCTCTCAAACAAAGTTGTCTTGTACGTATACTTTGAGGATCAAAAGCAGCTAAGATCTGCCTTCAATTGGTTGGTTAGCATTTGTTTAATGGAGACATATCTTGCAGGTACATCAGGGTTATAGTCATCAAACAGGGAAATAGTTTTTCTCACCACTTTAACTCAAGATGTATTCTCATCAGACATATCGTACTTTGATCCTTTCATTTATTTTCCTTTTTGATTTTTCAGCCAGATATACAGCTATACTTGATGCTAATAAATAATTACCCTGTGTATTTTCCCATGTACAGTTTGTAGACATCAAAATTTTTTTGGTCAATGCAAATTTTTTTATTTTATCAAGACACAGAAAACACATGATACGTGCTTAGGGATCAAGAAAATAGAGTGAATGCCAATTGGCTATGACGAGATTTGATTGAAGAGGAAAATATTACTTGCTTCTTACATGTAAGAGGATATATATCACAGTTTAACAAGTTTGCAAAAATAATGTCTTTTTGTATTTTTAATAAGGTAAAATTTGTATATTTTTCATATTGTGATTTGCAAGTTGTGGAGAATGGTTTTGTCTACTTTTGGAAAAGACTTCACTGCCCCTGAAATTTAAGGAAGAATGAAGTATTGTGAGTCTTTGTACACACCGGTGTGGTGTGAGCCAAAGAGCCTTCGATGTGCAACACGGATGGACCTAGCTTATGGCCCATGACAATATATATATTTTTTCGTCCTAGGTCAATTTAAAAAAAAAATATTTTTTCTTCTTATAGTTAGTGTATAAGTTTTAAGGTTTAGTCTAGTTCAAAACTAACAATCCACCCATAAGGTAAATCTAGCCTTCCTTATTTTGAAATCCTGGGTCCATCCCTAATGCCAAAGTCAATTCCAAGGTTAGAAGAAATAGGGTTTCTTAGGTTGATGAACGTTACCTCCTCCCACAATGGAGAAAGGGTTTTATATGGCCCAATGGTGGCTGACTTGTCGTCGTAAGAGGCTTTGTATTGCCGTTACTTGGGTTATAACCCATTATTTCACATGTCCAGTCAATTAGTCGTTTGGCTTAAGACATGTGAGATATTTGCCCAAAATCTGTGGGCATAATCTCCTAGATTATTGTTGTCGCAATAATTAGGAAGATCTTAGAGATCAATGCTGATCTGTTTTGTAGGCGTGTTGCCCAAAGATTGGCCCTGCTTAGGCGTGTTATATGAAACCTAGGTAAGGCTTATCTTAAGCCTACCTAGTTCTTGGGCCCAAGCTGGGGTTCTGTGACCTGACAAGGCCGGAGATGTTTGAAGGCCCTAATGAGCGCGTGGGTTTTCTAGTGGACCCACGCTCTTATCAATTATGGCAGAGGAATTGACTTATGCTAATTGGAGGCGTGTTACGCCACTCATCCTCTCATTAGTGAGCGATGAGATGTGCTTCTGAGACCACTAGTGTGCAAATCATGACCCTTTTTCATTGGGCTAAATCATGTTGGCAAATCAACTCAAAGTCTTAAATTCACAAATTAAGGCTTAATCTCACAAGTTAACGGATTTAAAATTTAGGGATTCAAGAACAAGAACTCCATAGACTGAGACGATCTTATTTAAAAGAAGGAACGTTTGGCATAGTAAACAAACTCTTTGACCAAGGCAAACAAAACTTGGACTAAAAAACTTCCAAGGTTTTGCATCATGCCTGTGGAATCATTAATCACTACTGACACATGCCAAATGAAATTCAACTGTTCAATTTAAGACGAGTGCTTGACACCTTTGAATCAACAAATCAATCTTAAAAATCGAACCACAGTAATAATATTTTATAGAAGAAACAAACAGCGATTGTACCCCACAACTTTATTAAATAGAAAATATCTTATACACATTCTCTTGTCAATTTAATTTAGATGAGGAAATTGTTCTTACATATATTCTTCTGCCGACAATGTGTTGAAATTAATGAAACAATAGTTAGGACTTATAAAAATTCATTGAATTGGCAAGGCGAAGATGAGTGGCTTAAATTATAATATGCCCGGAAAAGCTGGTGATATTCGAGCCAAAGGAGACAAAGCTGTCCCCCTCTGTATTGGAATGTGAATACAAAGGTGGAAATAAAAAGAAAAATACAGAGAAAAACAAAACATTCATACATATTCTCGTGTAGGGAAGCTTGGTCTCCTTGAGGTCTTGGTAACCGTATCTTGGAATTAAATATAAATACAAAAAAATATACATGAATTTTGGGACTAGAGAAGAAAGAGAAGAAGGAGTTTCTTCGGTCTTGGGATTTTAAGCAGAGAAGGCTGTGCATGGTTGAGCCATTGAGTGTTCGAGGATGGGTAAAAAAACAATTGCCTCATCAGTTGATAAGAACGTGAGTATGTATATATTTTTGCTTAGATATAGATATAGATATGTAGACAGTACAAACCCTCTGCTTTCTATTTCATTCGTCTAAAGAAACGGCAAAGATCTTTGCATAGTGACAATGCATGGCATATAAAGCATAAAAATGGAATCATCAATTTTACTCCACACACACACACACACACATATATATATATATATTGTATAGGTGTAGTTAAATGGATTTAGATTTAAGTGATTTTTCCATAAATGATCTTTAGATGAATTTATAGACTGTTCGGATCATTAAAATACAATGTGGAGTAGAACTTAAAAAGATGTCATTCAAATAAACTTATTTGAGAGGGATGTCAACTAAAATGTCTCTCACTGTATATATGGATGCTTTGAACTTTCAAGAAACTAATCACTCATTCATTCTGACCTGACCTCCCCATGTTGTAGCGTATAACTCATGCACTCTATTTCCAAAAAGATAGATGAGAATGATAAGCAAGCATGTGTGTGTTTTTACACGTGAGAGAGAGAGAGAGAGAGAGAGAGAGAGAGAGAGAGAGAGAGAGAGAATGCGTGGTGATGTAAATGGAAAAAAGAGAGGAAAGGATCAAATAGTGGTAGGGTTTTGGTCTCCCCTACAAAGGGGTAGGATATTGATTGTGAATAAATGCTTTCTACTTGTAGTTCAACTATATATATGTGTTTTTTTTTGGTCTGAATAACTATATATATGTTTAGTAGTAGGAGTAATAATACTAATTATTATTACACAGGAAATATATATATATATATATATAGCTTCTTCTTTTTTTGCCAAAATATATAATATATAGCTAGCAAACCCCACTTCGCCCACCAACAAGATAAAGATATATACGTAGGTTTTGGTTAATTAGAATAATAATGTACCAAAAAGTTTAAATATACGTACGTTTGGTTAAACATGTGTATGTTACATTACTATCACCATTATTCTCTTCTTCACCATACTTGACTTCGTGTTGTATTTAGCAGCTAGCTAGCTAGCAAGTTTTGCGGTCTTGCTGAAATCATATTTCAAAGTTGCCCTGCCTGCCCTTGAGAGAGAGAGAGAGAGAGAGAGAGAGAGAGAGAGGGTTGGTCAAAGTGTTATTGAGAGGTCGTTTCAATCTACAGTTTATCCATCAGAAGAAAGGGTTTTGTATGACTGTAGCAGGGTATCAGTATATGTTGCAAACTAGCACAGCCAACCAACCAATACGACTTGGGCTCCACCCTGTTGCGTTTTCACCCTCTGTAGCTGACCTTAGCTTTTTCCCATCCTCTTTCTCTCTCTCTCTCTCTCAACAAAGCTGCCAACGAGATCCATTCCAATCCAATATTATTATTGATTGACACCTACATCATTTTTCTCTCTTTTTTTCTTTAACTTTCCTTCTCTTGTGTTAGTTATATACATATGCATATCTCTACATTTTTAGGTTTATATTATTTATCCCCTCTCTCTCTCTCTCTCTAAGCTAATCATTTGCTTTGAATTTCCCAAGCAATAGTGAATCAAATGGTACATGTTCCATCCATCAAACATACCTCTCTCTCTCTCTCTCTCTCTCCACTAACAAAGCAAAATAGGCATCGTATGCAGCCCCAACAAAAAGTTGATGCATGTTATTTGCAGGAGATGAAAAGCCTATCTCAACTACATTTGGAACAAAATATACCCAACCCTTGTCTTGCTTTCCTCTTAACTTTGCCTTTACAATATTTCCACCATTTCAGATACCAACTCGCCTTCTTGATGCAATATTCCTAAAGACATTATAATTAGTCACTAATAAAGTTTACTTTAATCATTATAACCAAGATAGCATACTCTAATTAATTAACATAAACAAAACTAGAATGGAACGTATATTTCAATCTCCACTTAAATTTATGACGTTCTCATTAGGACTCACTCAAATTATGACATCCTTATCAAGATTTCAACAAATATGTTCGTGATTCACTTATACAATAAAATTTATTAACCGAATACAAAATTAATGTGAGACTCAAGACACAGATATATAACGGACAAATCAACTTATTCATAATAAGCATTTGGAATTATGAGATTTGTGAATTGATGAATACTCTTCGGGAGGATCCTAAAAGGAAATTGAATTATTAAAGCCAAAAGCCCCAAACCCCTAAAGTTCAATTATCCGTGCGTATATTATTATTATCTCCAAAAGTTAGATCGTCTTATTTCAAAGATTCTTCTCTTCTCATTGACCATCTTCTTAAATTCTCTCTTTCTCCTTATTATAAGTGGCAAGGGCAATCCAAATATGAGAATATATACTTCTTAAAGAAAATGTATAATCATTAAGGTACAATGTGGCCTTCTCGGCATATTGTTTCCCATCTTGAGGTTCACAGTGATCAGTAAGTTATCAATTCGTTAAAGATTTTTCTTCCATGTAATGTTCCGTTTGAGTTGAATGAAATACCATTTTCTCTCAAAAAAACAAAAGGGACAGAAATTATAAAAACTAAAAGCCATTAACATTAGTTGGATGAACAATGGGTTGACATAAATTACTTGGTCAACATGGATGTGTTTTTACCTCTTGCAGAAAAGAAAAGAAAAAAAAAAACTAAAAAAAGCAAAAAAAAAAAAAAAAAAAAAAAAAAAAAAAAAAAAAGGAAAGAGAAAAAAATAAGCAAAATGATGCTTACCAAAATACCTCTCACTCAGAAAGCCATGGCTATGTCAATAATATTAACCCCTCTAATTAAGTTCATATGCTAATGATATTAATGAACAAGACTTAATGTTTCTTAATTCTCTTCCAAGTAATTAATTACTGCATGGACTCATTATCTTGCTCTACTTCGGAAGCAGGATCATCTTCTTCTTCAAAGCCGTCAATGCCATAAGCTGCATGCCCATTCCCAAAGGCCTTGATATGATCTTTAAGAGACCTCTTGTGCTTAAAATCAGAGCCACAAATGCAATACCAAAGCTTCCCACAATTCTTCTCATGGGTTCTCCAATCCCCCCTCACTGCAAATGCCTTGCCACATTTTCTACACATGAAAGGCTTGATTCCGTGCTTCCTCTTGTAATGTGTTTGAAGGGTTCTGAAGTCTTTTAGAGGCTTTGCTCTCGGGTGATCGATGTTGTTCCTGCAACCTGGTGTGCAACAATAGCAAGGAAGCCTAAGCATGCCTGTTGGTTGAGTGCCCCTCAGAGATTCAGGCCCTTTTCTATACTGAGATCCATGCCCCCACATATGCATCTACGATATATAACATATATAGTTGGAAGAAAGAAAATAATAAAACAAAAATCAGTGATCAATGAATACCAAAACACCCAAACTATCAGTTAATTCAAAGAGAGAGAGAGAAAAAAAAAAAGATAACTACAAAATGCCGGCTGGCACGTGCAGTATTTAAGCCTGTTATTTGGCTTCTAATATGCTTGTCATCTTTTGTTGATGAATTCCGAGATTCATTAATTTTTCTGTTGTACACATGAAAGAAACTTTCTAACTAATTACTGGATTAAAGGTGCAAACATTTGGGGATTAAAACTGCATGATTTTTATAAGATTCAGATATATATATATATATGGACCTCCCTTGAAAAAGAAATTTTCAATTGGAGTAAATTCTTATTTTTTTCGCAATGAATTGTTTGAATGTTTTAGGGACGCTTTAAAAGGCATATGAAAGTGCTTAGTTTACAAGTCTTTGTCTGCAAAAGAGAGATCTACCAATTTACTTACTGAGTTGATAGAGCTCATTGAGATGCAATCATAGAAAGAAAAAAATGAATTACTTATCGAGTTTTCAAGATTTGTTGATTGAGAAGAGAGAGAGGTATATTTTGTATTACTAAGTATGGGGCTTGGATGACCAAAAACTGATTTGTAGCAGACCGAAGGTCCACATACAGAAACTCATTTGTTACTTGAATAATGTTATGACCTGGCCCCTCTGGTAAAAACACTGCAAGATTTTTCAGCTTCTGCCATTATATGTTTGAGCACAGACTTCAAAGTACTAAAGGCATAAGGAACATTGCCTGTGTTGTTCAATCACATAAAGGGACGGTACTGCCCATAGCCTTAGCTGAATCAGAAAGATTTACTTAACCCCAATTCCCAGAAACCATGCAAATAAAAGTAGAAGATGATGAATATGTTTTTAAAAAGTAAAATTTGGAAAAAGTAAATAAAAAAGAAAAAGGATACCTCAATCTCATTTTCCATTTATGAACCCAAGCATAGGATGATAGTTAAGGGAAGAAAATCAAAGACAAATTGAAGGAACAAAAAGCTGAGCTCATCATGAGACTGATTGTTGTCCTTAAATTATTAGAGGAAAACAAAGAGAGAAGAAAAGGCTGATAAAAAGAAAAAGATTGGGAGAGAGAGAGAGAGAGAGAGAGAGAGAGAGAGGAGAAAAGGGAAAATGGCTTCTGAGGCCATGGTTTCATGGTGAATCAAGAAATTTACCTCAATGGTTTTATTAATTTTGTTCAACTTTAAATGGAGAAATCAATTACCTGCATGTTGTTGTATCTGTTGAAGGTCTTGTAGCAAACAGGGCAAGAGAACTGAGTAGGACCAATGAGAATCTGGGAAGGGGTGGGGATCCAATACTGACCCTTGTTGAGCCTGCAGCTCATGGGGTACCCTGCAGAATCATTATCTCCCCCATGATCTAATTTTTCGTGATGATGAGTACTAATCTCTGAGGAGGAAGAAGCAACTGCAGCAGCAGACAGCACAGAGGCCATCTCAGCAGCACTAGGGCTAGGCAACCCTATGTGAAGTGCAACAGTCACACTCTCATCATCATCGTCTTCTTCTTCCTCATCTTGATCTTTATACTGATGATGATCTTGTTGATTTTCATGAAGGAGATGATGTTGTTGTTGGTTTGTTGGGCTTAAGCGGCTGAGGAGAGGGAGGGCTTCTCTGAGAGGAGGGGAAGGGGGCCTAGAGGTAACAGTTTGTTGGGTGGTGCAGTAAAAAGAGTGAGACTGGTTGAGGAAAAAGTTGTGGGCATAAGGATGAGGAGGAGGAGGAGGAGGAGGGTTTGGAGGCTGTTCATGGTGATGTTGATAAAGAGGGTTGAATTTGAAGAGACCTGGGAAGAAATTTGATGAGTAGGGGTAGTCAGCCATGGTTAATTAAAAAGGGTACTACTATACTGTGTGAGATGAAGGGAATAGTTTTGCTGGGTGACCTTGCTTTTATAGAGAGAGAGAGAGAGAGAGAGAGAGAGAGAGAGAGAGAGAGAGTACAAGATGACTGAAGGGAGTGGACGGTGGAGAGCCGAGTTATTAAGTAGTAGTACAACACAGTGAGAGAAGTAGTAAAGGTAAGGGAAAGGGGGAAAATAGAATCACCTAGTGAAGAACACATACAACCCAAAATAATAATAATTAAAGTCTATCTACCTAATTATTTTTGATTAAAAAAGAATCTAGTTCTATTTTATTGTGTTTGCAAAGTATATGTAGAATCTAGGATAATAGCATTAGTAGCCGTTTTATGTTTTTTTTTCAGGCTTCAAGGTTTTAAGGTTTTAATATATATATATACTCTAATTTTCAGCCTATAAAATTATACTCTATTTTCCTTATTTAGGATACATCCTTTTGGCAACTAACTAAAGTTGTAAATTATCTTACAAAAAATAAAATTGTTGGAAATCAAATAATTAAGAAAGAAATAAGAATTTTTACTGTATCTTTTCCTTTCCATTAGGCTCATTTTTGTAGGGTTAGAGTTACTTGCATGCTATGCTGAAAGTTAACCTAGTTTACATCATTAAAGAACTTAACTAATAAGACATTACATATTGCTGGAAACAATTAAAAAAATACAAGAATTATTTTATGCCCCAAGAAGCACATAGACAATTAGGTTGAAGCACGGATATTTAGCTCTTTGTAAGGAGATTCAAGCCCTCTACGATTTGGCAAAACCCACTAACCGGTGCAGTAGTATTGTATTTTCCCCTCCAGGATACAAGACAAGACCATCATCACTTAAGCACCAAGACCATCATCCACAAAGGCATAAATTACTCAAAAAAAAGGTTGACACAAATGTGGAAGTACAGTAACCACGCAGTGTTATTCCAAAAATAGAGAAATAAACCACAAGGCATATCTCCACTAGTAGTGGCATAAATCCAAACACATTTCATCATGAAAACTGCAAGCCTAAACAAATCAGATATGGACTCATCGCCCAAAACAACCAATGCAACTACAACTTTTAAACTCTCACAAGTAAAATTACAAGTAAAGACTCAACTACAAACAAAACACCCAAGTCACAAAAGAGTTGATGTAATTATTACAACAACAACAAAAAAACTGCAAAACCAACTGAGATGCTCGAAAACAGAACACTATGGTAGAAGCCCATGTTGAGGGGAGAACCGCAGCCACACAGGAATCTACAAACAAAACATAAAACACAAAACCCATATATCTGCAAAAAGAACCCAAACAACACCAAGATAAAGCTGCAAAATAAAGGGGCATCACAAGGTGAGAGGGATTTAAAGAGATCCAGGGCAACAAAAAAGTAGAGCAGAGAGCATAACCAAACCCTCAAAAGGTCATAAATGACAACAAGCTCAACTAAAAAACCAAAAGGAAGGCAAGAGAAAAGAGCGAAGGAGAGGATCAGAGAAGATAAGGAAGGAGAAGGGAGGAAAGACAGTGACCTTCCCTCCCCCTCCCTAGGATAGGAGCGGTGACTAGGGTTTGAGAGGGAAAGAAGTGGAGAGCGTTTGAGAGAAATGATATGTAAATGTTACTTGAGTTATAATAAGGTGAAACCATCATAACTTCTCTCTAAATATTAATAATAACAATTTAATTAATAGTAAAATGAACTAATACCTATTGACTCCAAGTGGATAGCCGCATAATCATTAATACTACAAAACCCCATTGGATGTCTGCGCATGAATGATAAGTTACTTTCATAAACACCTTTGCTAAGAAATCTCGGTGAGATAAAACCTTAGCGAAGGGAAAAGACTAGTACAACTTTTGTCCAGATTATTGACATCGCTTTGGACGCACTGAAATATGTCTCATTAAGGCCTTACAATGAAAAACCCAATGGGATATAAAAGCCTAGTCCAGGAGAAAAATAGTACAGTGCGCATATGTTTGATGTAGTATACTTTTGGATGCTTCCCTAAATTGATATCTTCATATGATCCCAACAAGTTTGAATATGATTGCTTGTAAATTCGACGCCCCCAATACCATACATCAACTTCTAGAATATAGATTTTGGTAGAGCTTTGGTGAAAATGACTAAAATATTATCTTGGGAATAAATTTGTTTGACTTCGATCTCTAGAATTTTTTAAAGTTATGTGTATAATAATTTTGGTGATATGTGTTTGGTTGTGTCACTCTTGATAAATCATTCTTTGATTTAAGTTATACATGCACCATTGTCTTCATACATAATCATTAGAGCATTTGTTGTTGTGCTTTGAATTTGATGAATTTGAGATCTTAACCAAACACATTCTTTGTTGGTTTCATGAGCATGATAATTTTTTAATGATTAATGGATGTAGCAATCACAGTTTGTTCGGTAGATCGTCATGAGATCAATGTATTTCCACAAGTAACTACATCTGCAAAGATAGCGCAAGATATGCTTTATATAATTCCAATGTCTACATATTGGAGCTGATCTATATCTTGCTAATAAATTCATTAGAAGTGTGATATTGTTTATAGTAGATGAGAGCTGCTATAATGAGAGTGTATTGAGCAGTGCATAATTACATATCATTTTGTACCCTTTTAGCTTATAATTTCATTATGTTTTTAAGTTAAAATTGTGCTTTTAATCGCTTTTGTGTTTGTTTCAGTGTATTAAGCTTTAGGAGTTATTTAATGCATTTTGGAGTCAAGTTAGCTCAAAACTATGTCTGCATATCAGTCAAATTCACAAATTGGACTATACGTTCTTCGAAAGAACCAGCTAATGAGTCATACACCATTGGAAAGATGTGGGAGTTTAGTTTCTGGAGCATTTTATGGTTCATGATTTTGAGTCTTCTAAAAAAGGTTATGAAAGTTTTGGTAGCTTAAGGTGAATTCGGCAACATCTGCGTTATTGTGCCAAAAATGACATTTGACGGCCTTTCGAATTTTTCCTTGAGTTGGCTACATATGGTTGGAAGGATAAGACAAAGAGCTTCAAGACCTATATTTTTCCAGAATTTTATGAATGGAGGAACAAGCCCAAAATGAGCTTATAAGAAGATTGCAGTGCATTGTCATGCATGACGTATGCATGAGCTAATTGTTTTTACTTCCCTTAGGCCTATAAATAGTGAGGTTCTCCAATCTTACAAACACACTAAAAAAACTTCTTGTTGTCGAATTCAACTGCGCCAAAATTGAATTAGCTTCATCCTCAACTTGTGATACTCGCAAGTGCACGAGCCATTCAATAATATAGCATATGTAAGTGCGAGGTCGATCCCACAAGGATTGATGATAGATTGATTCAATTTGATTCCCTTCGCAAAATAGAAAACAAGAAAGAAAGAAAAGAACTAACTCAAGCAAATCAATCAACAAGTTCAATTCAGATTCACGGATTGATTCTAGTTAAAGTATGATTAAGCCAAGGTATCTGGTCCTAACCTTATATTCCCAATTCCCTAATTAGATCATTGTTGTCAAACCTAAATTAAGCATTAGAAATCCATTTAAGCATAGAAAAATATTTTAAACAACCAAGCATGTATCTAATCCCTATTGTCGAATGTCTATACATACTCTTCCTATTCATAGTTCAATTCAAATTAAGGCATATGGTGTCTACTCTTAATTCCAACCAAGATAGCTAACATATAAGTTTTAATGGTGATCAATCATTCAAACAAGCATATTAACTTATAAGCATAATGAATAAGAACAAAAATCGTAATTGAAACTTGGAAACTAATCAAACTTGAAAACTTAAAATAAGAAATTACATGACAATGAAAAATAAACTACAACTAAGAAAAACATAAAGGAAAATTTAGCAAAAGGGTTTTATTACAACAATAGAGAACTTAAAAGAAAAACTAAGAGAATTTGAGGGAGAGAAAGGAGAGCAGCTATAGAGAGATGTTTGAGAGCTCCCCCCTCGAGGGTGTGTTTGATAACTTAGAGAATTTGAGGAAGAGAAGGGTGAGGAGCTCTAAAGAGGTGTTTGAGAGCTCCCCCCCTTGGGGTGTGTTTGAGAACTAAGAGAATTTGAGGAAGAGAAGAGAGAGGATTTCTAGAGAGGTGTTTGAGAGCTCCCCCCCTTGGGGTGTGTTTGAGAACTTAGAGAATTTGAGGAAGAGAATGGAGAGGTGCTCTAGAGAGGTGTTCGACCTTCCTTCTCTCCCTCAAATTCTCTTTGTTTTCCTTTTAAGTTCTCAATTGTTGCAATAAAACCCTTTTGCTAAAATTTCCTTTATGTTTTCCTTAGTTGTAATTTATTTTTCATTGTCATGTAATTTCTTATTTTAAGTTTTCAAGTTTGATTAGTTTCCAAGTTTCAATTACGGTTTTTGTTCTTATTTATTATGCTTATTACTTAATATGTTTGTTTGAATGATTGATCACCATTAAAACTTGTATGTTAGCTATCTTGGTTGGAATTAAGAGTAGACACCACATGTCTTAATTCAAATTGAACTATGAATAGGAAGAGTATGTATGGAAATTCGACAACAGGGATTAGATACATACTTGGTTATTTAAAACATTCTTTTATGCTCAATGGATTTCTAATGCTTATTTAAGTTCGAGAACAAGTATCTAATTAGGGAATTAGGAATACAAGGTTAGGACCAGACACCATGACTTAATCATAATTTAGCTAGAATCAATATGTGAATTTGAATTGAACTTGTTAACTGATTTGCTTGAGTTAGTTCTTTTCTTTCTTTCTTGTTTTCTATTCTTCTATTTTATTTTATTTTCTGTTTTGTGTAGGGAATCGAATTGAATCAATCTATCATTATTCCTCGTGGGATCAACCTCGCACTTACACATGCTATACTACCGAACAACTTGTGCATTTACGAGTATCACAAGTTGAGGATGCAACTAAATCAATTTTGGTGCAGTTGAATCAGAAAATAACATGTATGAGTGAGAGGGGCTTAAGTGAAGGGTCCAATCCAACCATGTGTAAGTTGAAAATGTTGAAGTTTAATAGTTGGATTGGACCACTCACTTAAACCCCTTATTTATACCCCCTACTTGTAGCCTTTCCGTATAGTAGATTATGCTAAATGTAATAAAGCACTTATCATACTGAGATATGGTACTTTTGGACCAAGTGTAATTTTATCATTACGACGAAACCAATTTTTTAAAGTGTGTAGGTTTTGATCTCACGGGTTACCATGATACTCACAAGTGCCCATATCCATTTGTCAAAACAAAGCTCATACTCGTGCCCATACCACAATGGTACACCAAGGTGTTATGTAACACGTAATCCTTACTTCTGTTTGTAAACTAGCTATATCCATTATAGCAGCCAAAATCTACCATGAATTTGGAATAAACTTTCTAAGCATTATACGAATTGAGCTCGTTTTCAAGTAATGAGCCTTAAGGAACACCTCACTCTCTGCGTGACTATCTGCAAACTCTTAAAGTTATCTCCAATTTACTAGCTCTAATCAACAATAGTGAATGTGTTGTATGCTAAGTCTCTTATTGGAGAGTTCGTTTGTCCTAGAACCAGATTCACAAGCTTACTTGGGATCGTACCATCATGGGCTTTAGATGCCAAAGGGACAACTCCTTCCTCAATAGTATGTTTCTCCCCAAGCATCATCTTTAGGTGAGTGATATTGGTTGGTTGGTGCCTAAAGACATAGGCACCATTTTCCTTGTAATTCTTTTGACCACTAATCCAATTGTTCAATTGTTCATTCACATAAATGTGGTTCCAAATCCTTTGCTCATCATTCACTAACCTTCCCTCAGTAGCCAGACCCCCAGCCGCAGTGTTGTTAGATTGACTCATAAATATAGAACCATCAGTCCTTTTAACAGATTTTGATGAAGGCTTATTAGAAATGTCATTAAAGATTTCCATGGACTAAGAGTTTTGTTTTTAGATTTTGTCCAGATTTTTTTCCCATAATTGTGCTTTCCGACATTCACACGAAAGGACACTCCATCATTCGCAGAGCCTTCACTCACATTTTTTAAAGTATCAAACCTAGACCCAAAGTTGCCACCTCTAGATCCTTTGTTTTCCAAGTTGTTAACCACATGCTTGGGTTTCCTTCTAACAAGCATATTCATCCAAGAGCCTCTCAAGTTTTTAAAAGCACAATCAATATTCTCTTATTGATCGGTGTATAATTGTATATCATTTTGTACCCTTCTAGCTTATGATTTCATTATGTTTTTGAGTTAAACTTGTGCTTTTAATCTCTTTTGTGTTTATCATTCAGTTTATTGAGTTTTAGGTAGCAATGGTGGCTTTGGATAGGAAAAGGTGTGAAAATGTGCAGACTGAGTTAGCAATTGTTTCAACCTTAACATCTTCATTTGACTTTGGATTGGCCCAAATAACATGTGGTTGGAAATATGACATTATGAACTTCAAGGTGGAAGGCTCAAAGCTGTCATTTGCTTAAGAACAGTCCAATTTGTGAGCCCATGAAGTTGCTGGTCATTCTGACCTAAATATGAGTTGATTGTTGCTTGGTCATGATGAGCTATGCATGAGCTATGATTCTAGTGGGATTTGTTGGCGAAGTGCAGCAACCAAATAAGAAAATAAACTGATTTTGTATTGCACTGTTGTGTTAGTTAAGGTTGGTGAAGTGGGTGTTGTGGAGAAAGCCATACTCAATTCAGATTTCTCACTTCCTTCTCCTTATAAATACCACTTCCATTTCACACCAAAAAGAAACACATAGTGGGATTCACACTCCCACAATTCATCCATTCACTCCATCATCCACACTCCCATCATTCCCCAAACACATTTAGAAATCATCCTCAAACACTCTCACAACCCCAAACACTCCAGCTATCAACTCAAAGCTCTAAACAGCCCCAAATCACCAAAACTTTCCCAACAAGCCTCTCTTCCATTTCCCTACAAATTTCCTCTTTCTCAGCCATCACCATTCACCCAACTCATCCCAACTCACCTTCTTAACCTTCATACATCCTTCTAGACTTGGGAAAGCTATTGGAAAAGCATTAGACGTGGAGAAGCTCTTAGAGTAGAAATAGACACCATAAGAACTTCATAAAAGGGTTTTCTATTCTTATTACATTCATTATATTTTCTCATTTCTGTTTAAGTTTCTTTCCCATTAAGAATAGGTAAATCCATAAATAAAGTTTTGATGTAACCTAACATGAATATTCTGGGTTTACAAATTTCAAATTTCAAGTTTGATTCATGATTCATGTTCTTATTCATTCATGCCTACCTGCCTTTATGCTAATTGGAATGCCTAGCTATCATTCAAATTTGTGTATCTTTTTTGGAATTAAGAGTAGACACCATATGCTTTAATTCTAACTGAACTATGAATAGGAAGAGTATGTATGGACATTCGACAATAGGGAATAGATACATGCTTGGTTGTTTAAAACATTCTTCTGTGCTTAATGGATTTTTAATGCATAATTTAGGTTCGACAATAAGGATCTAATTAGGGAATTGGGAATACAAAGTTAGGACTAAACACTATGGCTTAATCATACTTCAGCTAGAATTGGATTGTTATGGTGAATCGAATGCCTTAGTCTCCAAATCTGTTTTCCCACCTTCAAAACCACCCTTTGTTGCACTTGTTTACTTGCTTTTGTTTGCAATTTCATTTTGCTTCATTTGTTTTGACAATTACAATCACTCTCACTTTAAATTCTATTTCAGACTTACTTCCTACTTTCTTCAATTCGGTAATCTAAGCATATAACTAAGTTTAACTTCTCAGTCCTCGTGGGTACGACCTCTTACTTGTCTCACTATACTACTAATTAGCCCGTATAATTGCGAGTTAACATAACAATACTTGTTCCATAGCAACATCATCTCCCTTGGAAGGTACAACATCTGGAATTTTCCCCACCTTTTCAACAGCAACAATAGCTTTTAGTTCACAGTTTTCTTTTTTTGTGCCTATATCTCCCACACATATAAAAAATATTATGAAGGCCTTCATATTCAATATCTAACCAAACTTGGTTGAACTGGATAAATGCCTCAAGAGGCTTAGTCAAATCCAATTCAACACATAGTCTAGCAAATTTTCCCATCAATAAGTTGTTAGAGAATCAATTTCTAACAATTTCCCGAACAAGTTACTAATTCTTTTAATGGCCCAAACATCAAAGCATTCCAGTTGGTTACCTGAAACATGAATCTAAGTTGCCATGTTTACAATCTGAGCAGTTGCTGGGTTAAACCCAGGCCTTCATTTTTGCATAATCAGGTATTGATCCGCAATAATCTAGGGTCCTCCAGTCAGTACAAAATTAAAGTCCTCCTCCAAGTCAAACTTCACCACAAAATAATTGTTTACTATATCAACAAGCTTCCAATTACCTTTAAGTTTTCACTTTTGCTGCAGCTGAGCTTGAAGATAGTTATACGTGTGAGATCTCCCAAGTAGTTTGATGATCAAAGCATTCTTCCATGGTGATAGTTATACGTGCGAGATCTCCCAAGAAGTTTGATAATCAAATCATTCTTCCATGGTTGACAGAGACAATTCATGGCTCGATCCGAGAACTGAATACTCGGACGACGCACTTTTTGAGAGATCACGACATCCTCATCACCATTCAAATTTCATAATAAGAGGCTAGGAAATTGACTCAATACCCACACTCTTAGTAAAATTGACTTTATTTATTAATTTGTCTATGAAGCTACCAATCCTAAAAGAGGGATTGGGTGTTGTAATTACCTCAGGTTCATTCCCTAAGGACAATTTTGGTGTGGTGTGTTAGAAATCCTCATTATTACATGCCTTTGTAGCATGGCTTTGCTTAGGTAGGCGAAAGCCTCCCATGGTCCCTCCTAAGTGATTCATTCTATATCAAGCAAATTGGCTCTGAGTCTTCGCTACCAACACAAGGAACTAGATCAATTCCAAGAGACTACCAAAGGGCAATTTCTAGGAAGAGGATGATGGCCTTAAAGCTTCAGGAATATTCAGGCGCATGGAGCACGTTCAATAGAGCACTACAATATCAAAAGAAGTAAATGGCTTGGAAACTTTTTGGAGTAAATAGATTTGGACAACTTATTCCATTAATGGTGGATATATCATAAGGAGATATTATGAATGTCCTTAACCATGCCAGGAAAATGTGAGATTATATTTTCGACATGTTGCTCATATGTCGTGGTTGAATGGAAACAGTTGTCTGGCCTACAAGGATCAGAGGTCTTTGGTTTGAGTTGAAATTGTTGCATCACAAAGTTGATGGCTAGATAGAGATATTTCGAAAGTTTAGCCACATTGATGGCATTGTGACTTTGTGTTCATCATGTTTCTTGTCTAGTGTAGCAATTTCACCTTGAATTAATAAATCACACTCAGTTGATTTCTTTGGTTTCTTCAATGTGATGAGCTTCTTGTCATAGTTATCTGCCTCAACAAAGAAAAATGACTATTATTGAGCGTCGATAGCTTAATGCAACACTCTTAGTGTCGACAATAAACTTTGGTATACACAGCAAAGATTTTGATGTCATGTCGGACAGTTATTGGCAATTGGTTGGGACATTACCTTTTGTGTTTTGTAGATCGCTAGTCGGTAGCTTTAGTGGTGTAGATGGTGTTGCAATAGGAGATGCAGTTGAGAAAGATGAAAAAGCTTCAATATAGATTGTCTCTTAATGAGGCTCATCTACATTTCGACAACTTTGCTAGTTTTAAATGACATTGTGGAGGCCATGTGTAGTAGATTGTACATTTTGTGATCCATGTGGAAGTTTTGGATGAAGCAGCGATGATGACGACTCATCGGTGGAGCAATAGCTATGGACTTCATCCAAGTTTCTTCCTCTCTTTTTTTTGTATTCTCATTTAATATGAAGAAAAGGTTTATGGTCTAAACCATCAGAACTAGTTTTTATTTATTATTATCTCATTTTGTTCAGTTCACCCTCTGTCGTTAGAAAGAGAGAAATGAGAGGGAAGATATGGTTGCTCCCAATCAAATCGTGAGAGGAAAACTCTGTGATAAGATAAAGATACACACGAGTGGGTTAATTATTTTTGCATATATAAGTTTTGAGCTAGAGAGAGAAGTTTGGCGATGAAAGAAAGGAATGGTTATTTGCTTTCTTCATATCTCACAGAGGTAAGAGCCATATTTATTGGTTAGAGTTGTGTGCAATGGCTAATCCAGGATCTGTAACCCAAGGGGTTATAGTGTAAATGTTCTATAATTTAAAAAAGAAGAAGAGAATTTTCCCTTTTTCTTATCTATATTTTCTCTTTTAAATTCTCTATTTTCTTGGGGTTCCAATTGTGATATGACATAATAAAATATAACTTATGATTATAAATTATTTTAATCAAACATGGCAACAACAAAATAAATAAAACTACAAAAGTGGTTGTAACATCCCACACAACCAACGAAGATGGGGTGATATACCTTATATGTGCATGTTATGCCTTCATCTAGCAAAAGGCTTTTTAAGAGCTCACTAGCTTTAGAGTCATGGAAACTCCGAAGTTAAGCGAGTTTGAGCTAGAGCAATCTCAAGATGGGTGACTCACTGAGAAGTTGTTCGTGAGTTCCCAGAAACAAAACCATGAGGGCATGGAGGCCCCAAAGCAGACAATATCGTGCTACGGCAGAGCCAATCCGGGGTGTGACAAAATGATATCAAAGCCACTCTGCCGTATGGTGCGAGTGTGGCAACGATGACGTTTGGCCCCTAATGGGGGGGTGAATTGTAACATCTAACACGACCAACGGAGAGGGGGTGATATGCCTTATATGTGCATGCCCACCTCCATTTAGCACGAGGCCTTTGGGACTCACTGGCTTCGGAATCATGAGAACTTCGAAGTTAAGCGAGTTTGGACTAGAGCAATCCCA